TGTGACTCGGAGAGTCAAGTCTCAGAAGGTGAAGACAGACATGGAGGGCAGGAAGTCATCTATCCAATAATTCAAAGTGTTCCCCAGACGAAGCCGCAGTTTCTGCACTGAAAGGGTCCAGTGGGGACAGGGGACTGCTGAGGACCAGGAGCCAAGGGGCCAGTAGCTCATCCTCAAGTTCCTTCCCAGCTCAATTCCCCAGGCTTTTTCCGGAAATGGTCAGTGTGTCCAGGAGCATGTGTTCTAGCCAGAGGGGTCAAGCTGACTGCAAGAACAGTCCTCAATTTGCACCAAGTCCACAGGAGGCAGTGGCCCAGGGAGTCACTGAGGAGGCAGGAGGTGGCAGTGGTGACCCTGTCCACCGGGCACTGAGTGTGCTAGGGGCACTCCCCGCCAGGCGGGGCAGCACCAGCCCTGCCCAGGTCCTCCAGGGCTCAGAGATGTCGGAGCTGCCTTGTCCAGCCCAGGATGCAGGTGGGGCCCCTGGACAGCTGCCCGGCTCTGCCCCCTCCAGAGCTCTTCTGAGGCCTTCCTCCTGTCCTGGCTGCAGAACTAACAGAGGCCCATGTCAGGAAAAGGAGGACACACAGAAAAGTGAGAACAACCGGATCATGAACGTTTGTTTCCCCAGAGTCAGTTGTAATTAGCAGCTTCATGCCTACTCAATCATACTGTTCACAAAATGTTAAGTCCTAGAGATAGGGTTTTAAAATCTATTTTTTAACTTAATATATTCATTTAATAGAATTATTTCTACATGATATTTTTAAATGGCGTCATGATATTCTTTTATAATTTATTTAATTAGCTCTCCAAGAGATAGGTATTTTATTGTTGGCAATTTCCATTATTTTAATATCATATGTTGTATTTTTAAACACACATCTTAATTTCTTCAGGAGAAAACTTCTGAAGTAGTTAAGTTAGAGAAACAGACTTTGTAAAATCGCACATGAAAAGCTGTGCTTCTGCCTCCAGGTATGTCAGGCATGAAGGCTGGCTGCCCCGCGTCCTGCCGGGTCCTGTCTGCTCCTCCAGCCCAGCCGGGCACTCTGCCCAGTGGACACTGGTACTCTGGCTCAGGAGCCAGTGGCATGTGCTCGCACAGGGTGGGCTTGGCCAGCTTGGAAGCAGTGAGCTCAGAGGCCTCGTTTGCCCTAGGCCACGGCTGATGCCTAGGTCCACTGACAGGCCGTGGACCCTTGGCGGCTGGGCGCCGCTGCCTATCAACCCTCTCCAGGGCAAACCAAGAACCTGGGGTGCTCCCTGAAGCAGCAAGTGTGGCGAGTGCACTCTGACCCCTCAGCCACAAAGTGCTCACCTCAGCGCCTTCTCCTCGGGTGAGAGATAACCGGCCACTGGCGCCTGGTCTCTGCTGGACTGGGCTGTAGGGGCCACGTGGAGAAGGAGGGATAACAGCAGGGACCAGCACACCGTGAGGACACGCCCATTTGCAGGCTTTGGTCCCACTCCCTTCTGCAGGGGAGGAGAGTCCAGGAGTCTCTCCCCGGACAGCACAGGTAGGTGTGTCTGCAGGCCACAGAGCGGCGTGGCGGTGTGTGTGCCACAGTCTCCCCTGGCCTGTGGGGACAGGAGCTCTGGAAGGAGCTGCTCTCAGAGACGGGGGCCAGCACTGTGGGGAGGAGAGCATGGGCCTGGGGGCCGGACCCCAGCCACCTCCCAGCTGTACCGGCCCAGCTCTCTGGCCTGGAGTGAGCGATCGGAGCTTCTCTCCTCGCTCTTCTGTGAAGGACCCCACCATGGACTCAGTGGACTGCAGCCAGCACCGGCTGAGCTACTGGCTTGTAGTCTCTGTCCATGCTTCCTCCTTCCTGTGCTCTGCCGGGCGCCTCTTCGGGCCTGAAGCACTGGCCATGGTGCCGGGAACACGGGCTGCCGCAGCGTGGGCCAGCAGAGGAGCAAGCAGACGATGCCTCTGCACAGCAGCGGAAGGCCACTTGCCCTCGCTCTGGCCAGGGCAGCCTCTTGCCCCTCAGTTGGCAGCCATCCTTGCCCAGAGCACAGCCCAGGCTTTAAAGAGGCTGCGAAGGCGGGTCAGCAGAAAAGTTGAGGCTGGAGGACCAGCCCACCTTGAGCTCCACCAGAGAGCACCTCTGGAGACTGCTCTCCATGGTGTGATGGGGCAGGCTGCTCTTCCCCAGGGCCCTCCCAAAGCTAGACCACGGCTGGGTCCTGAGAATGAACAGCGAATGCCGTTTCCCCAAGTTGCCCCATATGCTGTACCAACCAGGTGATAAGGGCACCTTTGCCCTCCACGCCCAGGTCCTAGGGACCATGAGTCACCCATGGGCCATGTCAGCCCCAGGTAAAGGTGGCTCTGCCCCGTCCTCCTGGCCCGGCTCTCTCGACAGGCCACGTCCAGTTTGCCTTTTCTCCAGCTGTGAGAGGCTGCAGCTCATCACTGTGGCCATGTGCAGTTAATTGACCTCCAAGCGCATGACCTATAAGGAGGAGGGGGGCTGACAGGCCACGTAAGGGATCCCATGTCCTGCAGGAGTGCTCTGAAGTGCCCACGGGCCGGGGGCTGTCCCTGCTTTACTTCTCTTCCCTACATGAATGCACTCTGCTGTGTTTTTGTTGAGACAGAAAACCCAAATGATTTGAGACAGAACAAAATTCTCAGTGAGCTTGCCGTTGAGCCATCTTGGAGTCTGTCTGGTCAAAGTGGGGTCTCCTCCTGGACTCACCTGACCCACTGACTGGGGCTGCCTCTCCTCCTACCTCCAGGGATCCTGGGGAAGTAGAACAACACGGCCAGGTCTTCAACCAGGGGCTTGCAGGACAGCCTGGGGGTCTCAACGCAGAGCGCAGCCCACTCTGTTGGGCCGGGGTCTTTGAAATTGCTCATTGAGGTTCCGAAAGCCTGGCCAGTGGGATCCTCAGATGGGAGAGTTGTTTTGTGACAGGGGACCACAGTTAACACAGGAGACTGCCAGGAATAAACACAACACCAGCAGGGCCTCCTGGAGGGGCCGGGAGGACGGGAGAGACGTCCACCTGGAGGGGCTGGGAGGACAGCAGAGACGTCCACGTGGAGGGGCTGGGAGGGTGGCAGAGACGTCCACCTGGAGGGGCTGGGAGGACAGCAGAGACGTCCACCTGGAGGGGCTGGGAGGACGGCAGAGACGTCCACCTGGAGGGGCTGGGAGGACGGCAGAGACGTCCACCTGGAGGGGCTGGGAGGACGGCAGAGACGTCCACCTGGAGGGGCTGGGAGGACGGCAGAGACGTCCACCTGGAGGGGCTGGGAGGACGGCAGAGAGTCCACCTGGAGGGGCTGGGAGGGTGGCAGAGACGTCCACCTGGAGGGGCTGGGAGGACGGCAGAGACGTCCACCTGGAGGGGCTGGGAGGACGGCAGAGACGTTTACCTGGAGGGGGCTGGGAGGGTGGCAGAGACGTCCATCTGGAGGGGGCTCAGGGAATGGCAGAGCACAGCCACTCGGCTCCTCCAGATGTGCCCTCATGGCAAGCTGCAGCTACCCAGGGAACCCTAACCCTTGGATCCCTAGACAGAAGCACTGACCAGAATCAGCACCGTAGCACTCCATGTCCACTCTGCAGGGCTACTTGTCTACTTGTAGCTGCTACTTCTGCACTGAAAATGTAAACCTCTATTTTACAGCATCCAAACACTCACACAACCTATTTTACCCGATACAGTCTTCACTGACTTAAAAGGAGTGTACTGAATGAACATTTTCCTTGAGGTGTCCAGGCAGGGAAATCGGCAGTGTGTAAAAGAACCCTGTCCACGTACACACTTCCTGGTGGCCCGTCCCTCCACGGAGTCCTCTTCAGAGCTGAAGGAAGCGAGCTACCAAGCCCAGGCAGAAGGGGAGACACAGAGGCAAGCTAGACCCTCTGAGTGAAGGGAGCCGACGGGGAGCACTGCTGTACCCACCCAGCCACAGGGAAACCAGGGGGCAGTGAAGGCGGGGGACAGCAGGGGCTGGGGGGACAGAGGGAGGAGCAGGCAGAGCAGAGGACTGTCGGGCAGTGAACCTGGGGGACACGGCTTTGTCCACTGGTTTAGGCCCTCAGACCTCCAGGTGTGGATGCATCCCCGTCAGCACAGTGGAGTGGGCAGTGGGCGTGCGAGCCCTCTACACTCTCCATTCAGTTCTGATGTGATCCCCAAATGACTCTAAAAATGAAGCCAGTAAACACAGACACACACACACACACACACACTCACACACAGAGACACACAGACACACAGAGACACGCACACAGACACATACTGACACACAGACACACACAGTCACAGACACACATGCTCACACACACACACGTGCCCAGGCAGGGCCTGTGAGGGACATTCCCAGCCTATGGGGAGAGGGAGGGAGGGAGCCTGTCCCTGTGCTGTGCTGGGGCAGGGCCCTGTGGCTCTCCTGCAGGTAGCGTCAGAGAGTACCCACTTTCCCTACTTATTCTCCTTAAATCCTCTTCCTGCCTGCCTGCCCTCCCTCATAGTTTTTTTTCTCTTCTTTTTTCTACCCAAAACGTTCTCATCCCTTCTTTATGGCCAGGAAGGAAGACACCTGGAAACCGTGCCCTCTCGTGGCCCTTAGGGGAAGCCATTTGTCCCCTGGAGGCACGGACTTCCCCCAGCTTTGACCCAGGAGCAGCCTGGACAGGCCACCTGGGGCCTGTCCAGCAGGCAGTAAGGGGGGTAGGGTCCTCGGCCAGCAGCACTGACATGGTGTCACCCACTCACAGGTGAACCTGAACGGGATGCCAGGTTGTGTACACCTGGCTGTGCTCAGAGGGCAGCGAGGCCCTGCCCGGAGGAGGGCCACGCTGGGAGGAGGGCAGGCGAGGTCAGGGGGCCAAGCCACGCCTTTCCTCCCCGTGGGACCTGGGTGGGCGCCATCTCGGTGTCTCAAACCCCTGGGCCGACTTCCCCCGCCCAAGACCCAAAGTCCCCTTCAGTCTGTGACTGGAAAGACCCCAGGTCCCCTGACAACCACACGGCACTCATGGACCAGTTCATTCTTTATTTTGCAAAGCAGGGCAACTGGAGGAAGCAGATGGGAGGGTCTGCACAGTGCAGGAGCCTCCCTGGCCGGCTGGTGGCCTCACAGCTGCCAGAGGTGGTGAGTGGCACAGAAGAGCCACTGGGTGGCTCAGGGGTGGGAGAGGACAGTGACCAAGATTACAAAGCTAAACATGAGGTACACAGTGACTCCCTCGTCCTAGTATAAAAATAGTGTCAGAAACTATATATTTGTTCAGATATAGTGAAAAGGCCTAAGGTACAAACAGGCAGGGGCAGTGGCTGTGGGACTCGGGCTCCTCTCCCAAGCTGCAGGACCAATCCACAGTTTTACGATCCCATGGCTTCCGGCTACATTCAAGGACGTGTCCACGGGGGCCTTCGGAGGTGTGGGAGGGCCCCCTGAGCAGAGGTCGGCACTGCCCAGTTCACAGCCGCGACAGCCTGGCCAGCGCGGGGGCAGACGCTGCTCTTGCCTGGCTGCTCCCCAGGCTGTCACAGGACGAGGACGCAGGACACGCACTGAAGGGCCCTGCGCAGGCCTGGGGTGAGGAAAAGCCCGGGCACGGGAGGAGTGACGGGCCCTGTGGTGTCCCTTCCTACCCGGGCACAGGCTCAGCCCGACACACCTCCTTCCGAGCCACCCCCGCAGGCCGCAGGAGAGGACGGCGGCCGCTGCGTCTGATTCAGTCCTGTTGAAACACAGCAGGAGCCAGAGCCTGGGCCGCTCTGGGCCAGGTGTGCCCTGTGCCACCTGCCGAGGGAAAGGCACTGCACCGGCAGGAGCTGGGGACGCAGCTCCCTCCAGGGACCTGGCTCCAGACTGCTCCCCCAGCTCCAGCACCGCTCACAGGGAGACCGCCCACCGATGGTGGCCAGGAGCTGGTCTGTGCCCAGGTGAGGCGTTTAGGGGACCGGCAGGGGAGCAGTGCGTCCTTGGCTTCTCCATCTTGGAAACGCAAGTGAGAAGGACCTGTGGGCTGAGGCCTGTGGCACGGGGGGGCTGTGTCCTTGCCCTCCCCAGGCTCAGGGCAAGTGCGCCCTGAATGCACGCGGGCGGTGCCTGCAATGCCAGGGCTCGAGAATAGGGGGAGGAGCTTCACAGACACCCTTGGCCCCGCCAGTAAAGCTCGGGACTGCTCGGCTGACCCCGAGGCGGAGTGGCATCACCCTGCTCTGCTGTGACCAACCAACCCAGCAACCACGAATACAGGGTGGGGTGAGGGGGACTGTTTCTGTCTCCAGCCTGAAGATCCTGGACAGGAAACTTTCACAGAAGAAAAACTGATCTGTGCCCTGCCCCCAGGCAGCAGTCCCCATCTGCCACTGGTTCCCACCAGTGGGGACGCGGAGCCAGGACGTGCCCTGCAGACACAGGGGTGCCTCGGAGCTGCAGTGTCGGCAGCGACATGGAGCCTGGCCCTGCCTAACTTCCTTCACGGTCCAAACCAGTGACACAAAATAAGCTGCTATCTAAGAACAAACCAACGCCTAAGCTGAATGCATCTCCTTCTTGTTGAAACACACATCCAAACCCTCCACGCAGAATCGGCGTTGTCTCGCGGCACACGCCAGAGGGGCCTGAGCACACTGCCCGAGAGTGGGCGGCTCTGTATTTTGGCATAACAGGTGTGTGATGAAGCTTGTCAGAGAGTCTACCCTAGAGAATCATGCACGCGTGCACAGGTGCGTTCAGTGTGCAGACACGACGATTGCTGGTGAGTCTGTGTAATTCACACTCCAGTGCCACCAAGAGGCAATGTTAGATTTCACCTGTGACATGAAATAAAACATTCTGAAGGTCCAGGTCCGCAACACCAGCTAGAGCTCCCTGGACGCGCCTCACAGTGCAGTGATGGCCACACTTTATCCTGCCTCTTCTCTGGACTTGAATGGCAGGAATAGAGCCGGGGGCTCACACATACACACACACACACACACACACACGCACGCACAGCACTAAGGGGAACACGCTGAGTTTTAGGGCGTTAGAGGATGTGAACAGGAGTCAAGAGCACTGAAAGACCTTGAGGCCGCGGCACACCCACACCCAGGGCTCCTGTCCACCTTAGTGACAGCTACCCAGAGCAGACACTTCCCCTCCCTGTAAGAAAGTGGGAGGGTGTGCTGCGGGTCACGGGAGGTGCTCAGAGCTCCCGTCGGGGCAGGAGCATGCAGAGGAGAAGAGACCAGGTGGTGAGAGCCGCCCTGGCTGGAAGGGACCCACTGGGGGCGACTGTGGGTGGGGTGTGGTGGAGGAGGTGGGTCATGGGGCTGCCCCAAGGGTGCTTCTCCACCACGGCCCCTGCCCCCTTCCCAGCTGCAGGGAGATAAGTGCCTCCTCTACCAGGCTCAGGGCAGCGAAGCGGTCACCACGGACTGAACCCGGAGCTCCTTTCTGTGGTCCTCGTCAGCTGTTCTGGTCACAGCAAACCTGACTAACGCAGGTGGACGCTGACAGGCCAAGTCTCTCCTCCTGCTCCCCCCAGATCCAAAGGTCTCCGCACGCATGGGGCAGAGTTCCTCTCGGGTGCCACCTGCTCCACTGTCCACTCCCCCAACGCTGGGCCAGCGGGAACTCAGGGGCACGCTGAGGTGGGCTCAAACCCCAGGAGGGTGTGCACTGACTGGGAGCTGCAGGGCCACCCGCACTGCGGGCCGAGGGCAGTGCCCAGGCCTCGTGCTCAGGCCCTGCTCGCCTTGTGAGCTGACCGCAGCTTCTCAGCCGCGGTGCTCCTGACCTCACTGGGCGGAGGCGCCCTTCCTGCTCCCTCAGCTCTGCCCACAGCTCCGGATCAGAGCCCTGCTGCCGACACAGTCCAACTCTCCTCCAGGGTCCACCTGACAGACTGAAGGAAGAGAGACGGAGCTCCGTCCTGGAGCCCGGTGTCCCTCCAGGTCAGCGCTCCAACAATCACGTTGGGATCTAGGTGTGGTTTGGAAGGACGTGGAAGAGGACAAGATTATTTTCAAAAGTTCAGATTTCAAAACTGCTTCTCAGCAGGACCTCCCACGGCATGTGTTTGGCTGGTGGTGGAATGGGGCTTCTCCGCTGACCTGCTGACCCCTGCAGGTGAGACGGGCGGCCCTTGCTGGGGGTCCTGGGGGGATGGCCAAGCCCCACCCCCATTCTTTCACAAAGCAGCAGGTCAGTGGATGCATTTTCCTTGCGATGCGGCCTCACACTCTTTCCACCTGAGCAGACCCTTGTTCCTCCTAACCCCACCTGGCCCCCAGCAGGCCCACCAGGGCTCACACACTGTCCTCCCGGCCTCTTGAGACAAGCAAGACTCCCAACCACGGGAGCCGGTTCTCATAAACCCAGGCAGGAAGCAGCGGCAGAGCGGCACCCACACCCCCCAGCACACACAGCCCCACCTGGCCGTGGGCTTCCCGCGGCACAGACATGCCCAGAACCTGTGGAAACGTCCCCTGAAAACACGTCATGGTGCTCTCGAAAGCCGTGCAGAAACAAGAACACAGCAGTGGCCAAGTGTGGACGGTCTGCTCGGCGCACAGTGGGCTGGGGCTCCCAGAGGTGCCTCGGAGTCTCCACGCCGCGCCAACAGCCCCTCAGTTCCGCTTGGCCTGGCCGCTCTCCCCGTTGACCAGCGTCTTCTCCTGCTGCTCTGCCAGGGCCTGCCACTTCTGCCTGTTCCTCTGGCAGCCCTCCAGCAAGGGCCGGCAGTCCTCCGACACGTGGGTCAGGGCCTGGAGAGGAAGAGAGGAAGCAGGTGGAAGGACGCAGGCCGCAGCCCGCCCAGGCCACGCTCCACTCCTCTCGGGAGCCTGGCCTTCCCACGTGGACAACACACAGGGACCTCAGGAGGGAGTCCCCCGCAGCACCGAGGTGTGGAGGCTGGGCTGGGTGGGACCCGCTGTTTGGGGAACAGGGCTTGTTTCTGTGTGGTGCAGACGGCTTCGGGGGGTGACTAGCAGGCTTGCAGTGCTGAGAGGCGAGCCAAGTAGGAGTGACGCATCGCAGTTTCTTTGTCAGCCTACCCCATGTTGCTTAGAGGAAGGACTCTCCATGGTGGACCCAGATCATTTGCAGTGACTTTGCATGAAAGGTGACCTTGCTCAAGGACCAGGGCGGATCCGGGTTTAGGGTGGATCAGGGTTTAAGGCGGATGGGGGTTTAGGGCCTTCTGGGTTTAGGGCGGTTCCAGGTTTAAGGTGATTCCTGCTGGGAATAGGGCCTATCCTGCTGCCTCAGGCGCGCCCGCTCCTTGAGTTCCCGTTGAGTGCGGGATTCAGAGAGTATTTTGGGATACAGAGCCCAGTGGAGGTGTGGATTTTGCCCAGAACGTGCGTGTAGAGGGCCGGTGAGAGTTCGGGAATAAAGAATTGCTGTTTGAATCTACAAGGCTGTGAGTGGCTCGTGATTTTTTGCCCAGCCAGACTGCGGCATTGCAGAATGGCTTTATGCAAGGCACAGGGGATTTTCACCCAAGGCCATCGTCAGGGTCAGTTCTCACTCAGAGTGGCACCATGGTCTGCATTCAGCTGCAGCGATGTCATCGAGGAGGATTTCCTTGCAACAGACACACTGAATAGCACCGGTGACGGGGTTGGGGTGCTGTGTTGCTCTGGTGTGCCCACTAAAGACGCACAGAGACGGTCACAGCAGCCAGGAGGCGCTACGCCATGAGGCGCAGTCCCTGCTTGCAGGAGCAAGTGGGAAGCACACAGCCGTGCTCTGCCTCCAGCGACTCCCCACGTGGGGCCCGAGTGGCTGCTCCCTGCTGGTCCCTGCGGCAGAACATGCCACTCCTGTGGAAGCGGAGGTCACACGCTTCGCTTCACAGGGCGTTTTCAGGGCCGACTCGAACAGAGAAGGGGTCTCTGTATGTACATGATGCCCAGGGGACGACCCTGCAGAGGTGATCTGACACTACTCTCTCTACAAGGACTGAAAGGCCCAGACCCCCATTTGTATATTCAGCTGGGCCTCCACCAGCCGTGGGGAGGCGGCAGTCCTGCCGAGTGCCACGCCCAGTGCCTGGTGCTCCTGAGGACTGATAAGCAGGGAGGGCAGGCAGGAGAGGAGGGGCCGTGCCCGGTGCCCCTGGAGGGGCTCCCCTTCCTCTCCGGGCACCGCTTCCCTACTGTGTTCTCTGGATGGACCCCAGGTGTGGTTCAGGAGCCACCTGCCTGGGTGAAGAGTCCTTCTCCCTGGAAGACGAACTTTACAAACCCGGTCTCTGAATGCCAGAAACACCCTGGTCGGGGGTTTCCAGGACTCCCTGTTCTGGACGTGCTAGGGTAACTCCATGCTGAACGCTCCTTTCCCAAATAATCAAAGGCTAAAAGCAGTTTTCTGTTTGAACTTTGAAAGACGAAATCTTCTTTCTGTCCTTGGGTCATAGCATCTAAACTAGTCCACTGGGTATTGCGGGAGGGGGGAATCTCTTCACATGTGAACAGACAAATAAAAACCCCCAACTCCTAAAAGTCCAAATAGGCCAAGCCAGCAGGAGTGTGGGGACAGGAACCTGCACATCCTTAGACACTTCCTTCCCGTCCTCGGGGCAAGTTTCTTAAGATCACAATCACAGTGTGGCAGAGAGGAAAAGTCGAGGCAGCTTCCTCGTGGAGGCCCAGGTGTGGGGCAGAGAGCAGGAGAGCAGAGTGCAGGGCAGCTCCTCAGGACACTGCCACGCCCTACCCTCCCACACCCCTGAGGGGCCCCACACAGTAGGCGCCTGTGAGCTAGCACGCAGTGGGAACCCTTGGGCCTGCACACAGTGGGCCTTTAAGCTGAATGAAGTTTTTGAGAATAGCAAATACAAAATGTGTTCCCTGCTCCATGCAAACATATTTATCAGCAAAAGAAGCAAAGCTACTTTTTTTTCCCTTTTTTCTCGGTTTAGAACAAAAAGTATGTGCCTAGCGCCAATCTCTCGGATTTCTTCAGGCTTTAGTTCATGACATGCCTTAAGCCAGCACACCATGGGCTCCCCATAAATACCTCGTAGAGCTGCAGGCAGACGGCGTCGATGAACCCGACCTGCATGCTGGGGATCTTGTTCTTCTTCTCCCTGTTCATCAAATCCTGAAAACAGACACAAACAGGGGTGCATTTGTTTGCAGAACACAACAAAAGTGGGCTCTGAAAGATGAACTGGGCCAGCCTGGGAAGCCGGTGGCAGCCTCATGCACTCCCCACCCTGGGACGGACAAGACTGGGGAGGTTTGCAGGAGATGGACGCGGTGCGGGAAGCTTTTGTTGCTGGAGATCTGTGCCTCCAGTCCTGTTCCCTCTGGGAACCTCCTGACAGTAAAGAGCGCAACACATGTCCAGCAACAGCCGTCCACAACTGTGCCGCAGGTGGCAGGGCCCCACGCATCGTGACGCCAGGGCAGGTGCCAGGAGGGGCTGCAGGTGTGGCTCGCAGCCATGAAAACGTCGCAGAGCGGCACCTGCCTCACACAAGCGCCTGTGTCATCAGAAGCTACAGGGCCAGAGGGACACCTGGGGCGGAGCGTCTTCTCCTCACTTCTGCCTCCCGGGTGACACTCACACTTCTAACAGAACAAGTGCCGAGCAACAAAAGAGCACTGGGTCCCCCGGGGAAGACCTCACAGAAGCGTGAGAAAGCATGGTTCTGGGCCGCCCCAGGGCAGTGCCAGGAGGTGGGGTTCTTACGGTGGGCTCGATGTTGAGTTCCTTCCTCTCTCTGTCTCCTTGGTCAAAAAATTCAGTTGCTACCAGTTCTGCTATCTGAAACAAACAAAGGGCTGAGTTCAGGCAAGGAGAAGCACGTGAGTCTTTAAAACAGAGACCCTGGGTGGAGACCCCCCACCTGCCAGGTCTGTGTCTCACCGACACGATAACCAGAACCGCGCAGCGGTGAGCCCCGCAGACAGCACTGACTCACTGCGTGGGAGGCGCTCACAACCTTCTGTGATGAGCACTGAGAGCAAGGCGCCATTTCTGCTGGCCAGCGAGAGGCAGCCAGTGCCATGTGCAGGTGAGCAGCTCACTCAGCACCCGTTAGTCCAGGTGCCGCCAAGACTCAGCAGCAACAGGCCCCTTGATCACGGTGGTGGGTGGACGGTCCCTGCAGCTTCTTCTGACCTACACGTCCCCTCTCAGCTCTCCCCACAGTTTCTCCTTGCCTCGATGGACAACTGGTGGCTTATCCTGCAGTCTCGCAGTCGGGATGTGCAGATGCTCTCCCTGAGGCTGCTGGGTCTGGCCCCTGCATTTAGTTAGGGCCTGTGGTCGGGGGCCGGCCAGCGGAAATCAGTCTCAGTGGGGCTCCTTCGCGGCAGTGCTGTGCACTCCCACCAGTGGCTGCAGGAAGCCCAGGTGCTCCCGTCTGTGACGCTGGCAATCATTAATGATCTCTGCCTACATCCGTCAACTCAGGGCTGAGAAAGGGTGATGTTCAAAGCCGACATTCCCTTTTCCTTTATGAGTTAAAATAGGATAGAGGGAAGCTTCCCACGGCAATCGTGTAGTTATCCCAAGGCTCCCTACAGTTTTTAACCTATAAAAGAAAGGAGAAATGCCCGATTCCCCACTTCAAAAAAATAACCTGGCTCTCAAGATGACCACGGAAGGCTGTTTTCAGTATTTTTAGTGTTAATTTGAATTCGTGGGTTGGAATATAATTCTGCATTTCCATCCTGACTCCATGCTGGCACAGGGGCTCACTAAGCCGGGTCCTCTCCGGGGTCTTGGGGCCCCTTGTTGGTGTGAGGAGACGGTCTCCCACTCGTCCTGTGAGCCTCCTGGTGGTGCCAGGCCACCTCTGCGGCATGCAGCCTGCTCCTTAGCTGAGGGCTTGGAGGTCTCAGGCGGGACCCGGTCTGCTCACTGCACTCACCCTCAGGGGCCCGAGCTAGGAACACCTGGTTCAGAGAACATCTCCAACTCCAGTTCAGGACAAGAGGGTTTCTGCAAGCCTCAGTCTGTGCTGGAAATCCTAGCTCTTAACACTGGTGAAATTTCTTAATGCTCCTTTGTGCCACATGCCCACGCTGTGTCAATACAGAACTGCCACCGATGATGCACCACCCAGGGCTCCCTACGGTCTTTTCTGGTGGTAGGGTTTAATGTCCCTTAGAATGAATCAGCACTTCCTAGGACTAAACATCAAGTTTGTTTCCTTTATGTCCAAGATTTCATGATTTAAAAAATACACTCAATTTTGTTTCACAGTCAGGAAAACTGCTAGCACGTCCAAGTCTAACCTACGCGACAGGCCGTGGTGGAGCTCTGGGCTCGGACTCTGGCTAGACACACCCCTTTCACTGTCCTTCTGTGGGAAGTCACTCACTTCCCTTTGTGGATAAACCTGTTTTTAATATAAACATTTACATAATACAGATATTCACATGTTGCTCCTTCGTATGTAATTAGCGACATAACACGTTTTTTGTCCAGCTTGCTTTTTTCACACAAACATCTCTCTCTGTACTCTTCACAGAGATGACCCTCATTTCTATGACATGCGTGGGTCTGTGTGGGATGGGCCGTGGTCTATTGAGTCATTGCTGATGAGTGTGTGGGCTGCTTCTCTGCTGTTCCCAACAGCCGTGAATAAGCACTTCCATGCTCTCCCCGGAGTCTTTGGGATAAGATGCCAGAAGCAGTGCCCAACAGGCTCCAGTCTGAATACTCCTCGAGGCTGCGACTCGGAGCCCTCAGTGTCCCCCAGCTGCCCCGACTGAGCATGCTACAAAACTCCGGGATGTTTGTCAACCTGTGGATTCCGCGATGGGGGAGAAGCTGTGTGGATCCCAAGGGGATGGTTGGCGTAGCAGCAGATGCCCACAGCTGTGTGTCACCACCCCGCTGAGACAGAAGGTGCCCAGGAGGCTCCCGTCGTCCTCTGCTCTTCTCTCCCTCCCTCCAGAAGCACACGGCCACTCCCACAGGCCAGCCTGCCTGTGCTAGAACTTCCTGTGAATGGCACTGGGCTGTGCCCCTTGGTGTGGCACGTTCCCGAGTCATCTGTGACCCTCCTGAATGGCACAGAACCCCCCAGTACGAGGGGTACACTGCCACACGCTGACCCACTCTCCTGGGTGGACGTTCCGGCTCCCTCCAGGGTCTGGCTGTCGGGAACAGCACCGGCCCGGGGTTCCGTGCAGGCCTGCTGGGTTGGTGTAGTTTTAACTCAGTTTCTCTTATGACTCAAAGGAGAAGTCGTTCCCGGTAGGAAAGCCACCACCTTGTGTTCGCATCTCTGGCTCATTTTTCCACAGGGTCGTTGGCATCTTTCTTCTGCCCTTAGCTCTTTGTCTGTTGCGGATATTAACGGTCAGGTACACGGGCAGTTGTCCTCCGTGTCTGTGCCTGGAGTCTGTGGGGGCACAGGCTTCCTCTTTGTGGGGCTGACTCTGTTGGTTGGGTCCTTTGCTTTTGTGCACCCTGAGCCTGTCCCACAGGTGCCCACCAGGTGTTTAGAACTCACGTGGGCTGATTCTCTGCTGAAGATCCTGGCTTCACCTGGAGTCCACATGTGTGCACTGGACCCCGTCCTGTCTCCCTCCCCTGGTCATTCGCTCAGCCCACACTATTGAGTAAAAGCTCTTTCCTATATTTGGAGTGTTATTTGTTATACAGTGAACACTGTGCAATTCTGGACCATCTACGGTTCTCCTGTGTTCTGCTGATCTGCCACCCAAACCACTTGTGATTATAGACTTTGTAGTACTGTTTCCATATCAGAACACCAACACCTCATTGCTTCACCTTTTCAGAAATTTTGGGTGTCTTTTTGCTTTTTACTCCCTCCTAAATAAATTTTAAAATCATTTTTTTCTAGCTTGAGAACAAAAATTTAATAGCCTAAAATCTGTAAATTGGCTTAAAGAGAGAGAAACGATACCTTTCTACTGATTTTTTTCTCTTAAGAACATGCTACACCTTCTCATTTATATCAGTCTCATCTTCTGCTTTAGCAACACAAAATGTTTTCTAATTTCTTTCATATAGTTTTTGCAAGTTTTGTCTATCCTTAGGTATTTAATACTTTTATTTACTCTTCCCCGTCACAGAGGCTTCTCTTCTACTTTATCTTATAACTGATTTGCTCATTTAGCCTGCCCACTGTTTATTTTGGGCTTGCCAGATATAGTTTTACCTGCAAGTGGAGATAGTTTACTTCTTTATTTGTAATTCTTATGATTCTTTATTACTTTTGCTTATTTAATTCCATTGGCTACTTGCTCCAACACAAAGTCTCACTTTTTTTCTCTCTTGGGGTAAATCACGATTTATTCTTTAAGGCAGTGTCAGTTTGGTAATCCCGACACGTGCCATGCCATCTCTGTGGGTGTGACCTCGTGTTCTTGTCCCCTGGTTCTGACGTGGTGGAGGTTTCTGTCGACAGTCACGGCACTCACAGGGTTGCGGGCTTAGCTCCGAGAACAAAGGAGTCGGGAAGAGAAGGGCCGCCGCAGTCGGCAGAGCTGCTGGACAGCTCCAGGCCAGCTCCACCCTGCAGACCGCCCATACCGTGGACCAGGCCAGCACTGCCATCCAGCCCTCAAAACCAGCTCCACTGGACAGACGGCACGCAGGTCCAGGGCGTAGCTGAGGAGGCCCAAGGCAGGTGGAGGGTGCTCTCCGCGGGCCTCTGTGAGTACACCAGCCTCCTCCCCAGCCTTCTCTCTGGTAGCTCCCAATAGTTTTTCTTTTTATTTTATAAAAACAAATTTCCTTTCTTATTTTTTTTCCTACAATGAAACAATAGGTAGTTTCATGCAGAAGACAGACCCCGTCTTCCACTTCCCTCCTGTTTGGAAACAGGCCTACAGTCCCATCTCACAAGGGCAGGGAGGTCGTGAGCACCGCCTGAGTGCCAGGGCCTGCCAGCCTCCTCACGTGGGGCGATTTCGTCTCTCTTCTCCGCAGGCTTCACTGCATGAGCCTGGGCTGCTGTGCCCATGACCGGCAGCTGGGCTGGACACACAGAAAGTCCACACCTTCCCTGGGGCACCAAGACTGCACACCCCGAGGGACTGAGCCACCACGCAGACAGCTCTGCATCCCAGTGGCTTCCCTGAGCCTCCTCCAGCCCTGAGAAAGAGCAAGGCAGTCAGGTCTCCCGAGGAAGGAGCTCCTGGCCGGTGCTTCCTGACATCCGTTCAGCACTCCCACGTCTACCAGCCCCAGGAACGTGGACACTCCACTTGCTAAGCCCACTTAGAGCAGAGAGTAGCCTAGTAAGCCAACCTAAGAAAATTACTTTCCTTCTAATTTTCGATCTTATTAAAAGGATGTGCTGAAAAAATCCCCAGGTGAGCCCAAATAGTGCTGAGACTAAGCCTTCCCAGGAGCTGGCTTGGCTATGCGTTAACTAGATGCTCTTTCCTGACCTATCAGATACCAAGTACAAGTGAATCTCCTGCAAATGACAGGCTTCCCTGCTCAGTCATCGGCTTTAACAGTGCCGGAGCCAGGGAAGCGGGCCGGAGCACGGCTGCGAAGACGGCCTCAGGAACCGGCTGCCCCGGTGCTGACATTTCAGTTACTCTTCATCACCACTAAGGCACGTACCCGTTGCTGGATGGGCCAGGGTTTTGTGATTGCAGAAAGATCGCAGGCCGTCATCAGCATTGCTCTGCAAGGCAAGAGACAGACTCCTGTTTCCCTTCACATGAACTCGACCCTGCACCCAGCACACAGAGGCCACGCAAGGCCCTCCCCCAGGAACGGCAGAGCAGGGCTCACATGGAAGCTGGCCGTGCTGGGTCCCAGCCCTAGACACTGCGTCCATCCTCCCTGCCCCGTCAGCCCCAGGGGCACAGAGAGAAGGGGTCCACCTCTGCAGAGAGCTTGCCAGTTCCTGCCACCGCCTCCACCAGGCAGCTACCCTCGGTGGCAGCATAAGGACAGCGCTTCCAACGGTTACCCGCCAAGAGTGACAGCAAGTTCTCTATCGTGAGTCAGGCGGTCCTAATTCTCTGGCTCCTTGTGGCTACCCTGAGCATGCTCAGCCACACACAGCCTCTGACAGACAGGCCCCACCTGGCAGGCGGAGGGGCAGGAGACGAGCTCTCAGGCCCACCATCATGCAGCCCCTGGAAGAGAGCTCTAGTGACCATGAGAACACTGCTGTGTCCAGAGTGTTCCCATGCTTGCTGCTGGACGGGCAAAGCCATCTCCTGCAGCAAGCACCACAGTGCAAGGCTCCTCTGTCCCTCTAGGCCTCGCAGGGTGCGGGGAGCTCACTACAGAGCACCCCTCTGTCCCTCTAGGCCTCGCAGGGTGCGGGGAGCTCACTACAGAGCACCCCTCTGTCCCTCTAGGCCTCGCAGGGTGCGGGGAGCTCACTACAGAGCACCCCTCTGTCCCTCTAGGCCTCGCAGGGTGCGGGGAGCTCACTACAGAACACCCCTCTGTCCCTCTAGGAATGTCAGGGTGCGGGGAGCTCACTACAGAGCACCCCTCTGTCCCTCTAGGCCTCGCAGGGTGCGGGAGCTCACTACAGAGCACCCCTCTGTCCCTCTAGGAATGGCAGGGTGCAGGGAGCTCACTGCAGAACACCCCTCTGTCCCTCTAGGAATGGCAGGGTGCGGGGAGCTCACTACAGAGCACCCCTCTGTCCCTCTAGGAATGCAGGGTGCAGGGAGCTCACTACAGAGCACCCCTCTGTCCCTCTAGGAATGGCAGGGTGCAGGGAGCTCACTACAGAACACCCCTCTGTCCCTCTAGGAATGGCAGGGTGCAGGGAGCTCACTACAGAGCACCCCTCTGTCCCTCTAGGCCTCGCAGGGTGCAGGGAGCTCACTACAGAGCACCCCTCTGTCCCTCTAGGCCTCGCAGGGTGCGGGGAGCTCACTACAGAGCACCCCTCTGTCCCTCTAGGAATGGCAGGGTGCGGGGAGCTCACTACAGAACACCCCTCTGTCCCTCTAGGAATGGCAGGGTGCAGGGAGCTCACTACAGAGCACCCCTCTGTCCCTCTAGGCCTCGCAGGGTGCGGGGAGCTCACTACAGAGCACCCCTCTGTCCCTCTAGGAATGGCAGGGTGCAGGGAGCTCACTGCAGAACACCCCTCTGTCCCTCTAGGAATGGCAGGGTGCGGGGAGCTCACTACAGAGCACCCCTCTGTCCCTCTAGGAATGTCAGGGTGCAGGGAGCTCACTGCAGAACACCCCTCTGTCCCTCTAGGAATGTCAGGGTGCAGGGAGCTCACTACAGAGCACCCCTCTGTCCCTCTAGGAATGGCAGGGTGCAGGGAGCTCACTGCAGAACACCCCTCTGTCCCTCTAGGAATGGCAGGGTGCAGGGAGCTCACTACAGAACACCCCTCTGTCCCTCTAGGCCTCGCAGGGTGCAGGGAGCTCACTACAGAGCACCCCTCTGTCCCTCTAGGCCTCGCAGGGTGCGGGGAGCTCACTACAGAGCACCCCTCTGTCCCTCTAGGCCTTGCAGGGTGCGGGGAGCTCACTACAGAGCACCCCTCTGTCCCTCTAGGAATGGCAGGGTGCAGGGAGCTCACTACAGAGCACCCCTCTGTCCCTCTAGGCCTCGCAGGGTGCGGGGAGCTCACTGCAGAACATGCCAACCTGAAACACCTCTTGCCTACCCACACCAGGCAGAAGATGGCACTCAATCCACCACAGAAAGCCAGTGCACCAGGGGTATTCAAGGCACCGAGGACCACAATCACCAAGGCCAGCCAGCACCGAGGCCTCCACAGATGGCGGGAGAATGACTCACAGAAACAACTCCTTCTGATGAGGGTCTTCCAGGTTGAATTGGTTCTTTCTTATGAGTTCAAAAAATTCCCCTCGCCTCCTTGAAATACAGAAAACATTAGGCAGTTATGAGGTCCCCTGCTCTCCCCCGTGACCTAGAGGGTCATGGATACACCTTCCCTCCTATGGCCCAGGAGACCACCATCTGAAAAGACTTGATTCCTCACTTTCCCTCTGCTCGCGTGGTTTTGGTGGAAGGTTAAACTTCACCTGGTTTTTAACCACAAAGAGCAGTCATTTCAATTCTGGAATATTTTAATAAAAAAGTGAGTAAAAAGTGTGACATCAAGTGAGATCTAAGGCATTTTAAGGTCGGGACCTAATGAGACCTAGAGGTTCACGTTAGCTCTGTCTACCGTGTTCCTACACATTGTGAAATAGAGCGCAAGGCTCTGGAAGCCAAGGAAGGCCTGGTAAGTTAGTGTGCCTCTGTGGTCATCCCAGGAGCTGGCAGGGTCAGCGGGTGGAGCTGCTTTGGGCCCACCACTGCTGAGTATCTGAAGAACTACTCGGCACAGTGCTCAAGGTCCAGCTGGAGACAGACCCAGGGAAAGGAACGCCCGTGGGACGGCACTGACCATCCTGCTGAGAACCAAAGTCAGGCAGGTGTCATCTGGTCAGGTGAGACCCACGAGGCCCAGAAGGCCTGGGCAGGCTGTGAGGTCACAGGTCGTTCTCAAGTGCCTGGTCATGTGGCAGTCCTTACTCAGCAGTTACTTGACGGGAAGTTCACTGTGTTTCCTTCTGTTCTCCTTAACTCAGTGTCCACCCTCGCGCAGCAGGTGTGTGGGTGCTGCTGGGGCCTCGACAGTGGACATCTGGCGTAGGTGGCTGGGTGTTTGTGCTGTCTGCTCTGCTTCCCCTTACAGTGGCTCAAACTGGCCCAAGGACCCTCGTGCAGAGGACAGGCTGTGCTCCTGGGAAATCGGGGGACCCCCACTCCCCATCTCACAGAGCACCAGCACTCTCCCTGCGAGTTGGAAACCCCCGACTGTCGGGCTCTCGGAGAAGTGCCTTGCTGGGCAGGTGCACAATCACAAACGCCACCTTCACAGTCTCAAAGTTGTACGTGAATGTCCCCTTCTTGTGCCAAAATCAAATAAAAAGAACCCTGAGCTGCTATTTTGGCTCTGGTAGCTCTTCCTGCCCCCGGGGTTGGATGGTGGCAGGAAGGAGGTGCGGATGGAGTGAGTCGGGTGTGGGAAAGGGGGAAGGCCACAGGCCCAGGAACCTTCAGCAGGAATGACCTTGAGTCAGAGATCTGGGCGATCATGGCTTCAGAGACACCATGGGAGATGAAGAAGGGAAACAGCCATGTGTTCTGTGAGTTTTAGCTCCCAGTGAGCAACGGCGGCTGCTACAATTAAAACTCCCTGCCCACCTGAGGGTCAGCGCTGCCAGGGGTCTGAGGACTGCCCAGACCTGGGCCTGGTGCAGGAAGCCTGCAAGACCTGCCTCAGAGGGGTCTCCTGAGACTCACTTGATGTACAGCGCCAGGTCTGTGGCCAGGATGGCTTGCTTGATCACCTTCAGCGCGGCCTTGTATTCTTCAACGGAGAGGCCGCTGAGAATCTGATTGCCCTTGACAGAGAAAAGAGAAGCATCACTAGCACTCCATCCAGAGACGCTGCGGGGAGCCATCTGCGACATCTGGAACACAGCTCCGGTCACTTGCCCCGAGCGGCGCGGGAGATGGCACCGTCTGCTCTTCCCCGCCACCCTGGGTGACATGCCACTTGTTCCCCAGGCCTGAGCACAGACAGAACATCTCCTGGCCACCTACTCTTCCTTCTGGCAGGTTTTGGGCTACAATCTAACAGCAGGTAAAACTGAGAAGTGAAGGGGTGTCAGGAGCGGAGCTGCGAGGGTCAAACTGACGATCCGGGTCACGGCCCTGTGGCTTCTGTGATAAGCCCAGAAGGATCCTCAGGTGAATCCACACACCTTGGTGGCTCTCTAGTGTCAGACGGAGTAGAACGCAGAGCGCAGACACACAGAAGGCGCCCAGAACATCTGTGAACGGAGTCAGATGTGTCTCGTTAATCAGCGCCAACAAGAGCCCAGAGGCCTGGGGACGAGGCCAGGAGGCAGAGGGCTTGCGGTGAGGACCAGGCACCTGCCGGCCGTCCAGGCGAGGGCCAGAGGAGCCGAAGCACTGCAGCAGTGGCATGGCTGAATCAATGACGAAACGCGTCACTCAGCCACGGACATAGAGGTCCTCTAAACACTGAGTCATTTTAGATTCTGAGCCAAGCAGAGATGCTTGTATTCAAGATAAAACAACCTCAAGCACAACCGGAGGCGTCTTTAGTGCTACATTCTTAGTTTTCCTTCCCAAGCAGAGGCTGTAACTTCTGTACATCATGTTAAAAGATGAACTACACAGCAGGCCTCGCTGTGGAGGCCGACACACGCACAGCCGATTCCACGTGTGCCAACACACCGTAACCTGTCCTGTCCAGTAAAAGAAGGACTTCCAGCACGCGGGTGGCAGAGCTGCCAGGAGGACAGCACGGCCTTTCCACACGACACCACACACACATTTCTGCAGAGTCTTGGTTTGAAAAGCTGCACACTACGGGAAAACAGGTCAGAGACACCCTGCACAGAACCAGGCCCAGGCCAGACCTCTGGCCAAGCAGGTCCCCAGTGCCCCTGAGATGTGAGAGTGAGAAACCAGCAGTGGAAATGAGAAGGTGGGCGCTGAGGCGAAGCCAGGCAGGCCAGGGCCCAGGTGACCGCCAGCACCTCCTGGGGTGCCTGTCTAACATTCTTAAAACAGACCCTGCCCCCAGGAGACTGGGCGGGGGCCTTCCTTCCCTGCTGAACTCAAAATCCAGCACCCACAGTTCTGGCTCATCGGAGCCCCGACAACTTGTGTAAGAACTGCTCCTATAGTACACTGCAGTGACACAGGGACCAAGCCGTGACAGTCACAGGCCCTGGCCACGCCCCCCACGAGGCCATCTATGGGACGTTCTGCGGAGGCTGGAACAGGCTGCGTGAATCTTCACCTCCATGACACCAGGGTCATGAGGAGTGGGAGCAGGTCCTCACACCTCAAGTGACAGCCAGCAGGTCCTGTGCAAGGTCCTGCAGGTGAGGGGACGGGCCAGGACCTGCGTCTGGACACCTCCCTGACACAGGGAGTCTAAGGGCCAGGCTGTCTGGCTCCCACTCGGGGGTGCTCTGTGGGGAGCACGCATTGCCCAGAGGGAAGTGCTCCACGGGGCTCCCTGGCTCCTGGCACAGGGGCTTCCTATCAGAACAGGGCTGAGAGCACCCGGCCCTCCGACGCCTGCTCTCCAAGTCTGGAGAGGCCTGCAGGCAGGTGTGGGTGAGGAAGGCGCTAGCAGCAGCTCACGGGAGCAAGAGGGAAGCCACCATTCAGGAAGGGGGAGCCTGAGCCTTCACATCAAACTCCCAACTCCCCGGCACCGGCCATCTGGCCTCTCCATTGAGAACCAGGGACGACATGGTGGGACCTAAGGGAGCTGGAGGACTTTAACTTACAAAGGAGGGACAGAGATTGCCTTGGACTCTGGGTATTGTCCCCAGGCTCACAAAGGCACTAGCCCAGGGCCCACCCACAGACGAGGTGATGTGTATGCTTTGGGGTCACCCATGCCAGTGCTTGTCAGCACAGCAGTCAGGACTTCCCTCTGTCACCCGGGTCACACGAGCAGACAGAGATGGCACGGAGGCACGAGGCCTGCGCTCGGCAAACGCCCCCTCAAATGCCCTGGTGCTCCTCTCCTGCCTTACTGCCCTTAGGTAGGGAGGTTCTGTGCACGGCCTACGTCTGCGCACATGGACAGCGGTCCAGGCACCCCGGCCGTCCAACAGCACCCTTCCTTGACAACATGGTAGCATTAGAGGTTTTAGTGAAGAGAAGGCTGTGTGCTTCTTGGTGGCACAGCAGTGCTCAGTGTGCGCCAGGCCAAGCCAACGCCCAGCGCCACAGTGGGAGAGGAGAGCTGTGACTCCAAAAGCAAACCCCAGGCTGCAGAAGCCACAGAGCCATTCCCACGGGGCGGCCAACGCAGCCCCGCAACCTACGGGGCAACGTGGAGACGGCTCTGGTTGGCAGAGGCGCTGCGAGGTCTCCGCGGATCTGGTTCCTGTTGCTACCCAAAAGAGAAGGGCGCGTGTTCAGGCTTAGAGCTGCAGGTGGGAGCAGCAGGCGGGAGCCGCAGAGGGGGACTCACCGGGCTGTTGAGGATCATCAGGCACTGGTCGAAGTGGTGGTGCTCCATGATGGAGTGGCAGTACAGCTGGGCCAGCGGGTGCTCTGTCCTGTGGGCGTGGAGAGAGGAGAGGCCGCGTCCTCAGTGTGGCTGAGCTCAGCAGACGGCCTCACCCAGCAGCCAAGCCCGCCCGCCCTCCGCCCTCTGGGTGAGCAGCCACCTCTGGGAGCAGGCAGACCGCCCCGAGGCAGGAGAACCTGCCTGTTCTGAGTGTGAGCAGTGTTGGTGTTTTAGCAGAGTGGACCGGCAGTGTGGGGACAGGAAGGGAGAGCCGCCCCAGGGGTAAGAAAACACCTGTTACACATAAATATTATCGCACACCTTACAGTCTTCAATTTTAAAACTGCATCTGACTTAGACTCTGAACCAATTCACAGGTTAGCTTTGCCTTTGCAGTCACGCTCAGGCGGGGGTCGATGTTCCCAGCACTGATGAGGTGGGATTCAGGGGCCTGTCACTGGACCGAGCTGCCCAGGGGGCTGCCCAGGCTCGGCCCCCTGGAGGGAAGCAGGCGGCTGAGTCAGTTGGTTCCTGGTTCCTGCAGTGCCCGACGTCGCCAGCTCTCTGAGTTGACCCAGTGGTGCCCGGGTTGAGCCGAGAGGCATGGCAGTGCCCAGTTCAGCAGGCGGGAGACAGCCAGGCTGCACAGGGCGCACTGCCTGCATCCAGTGCTCGCCTCTGGCCCTGCGCAGCCCCACCATCTGTGCTCCCAGCTGCAGGAAGGGGCCGGTGAGTGCTGGCAGGTGTCCGAGGCCCCTGGCTAGTTGCCACTCCCTGCGGTTCTCTGACCAGCAGGTGATTTGTGGAGGCTTCAGAAGGTGCTCCAGGCTGAAGGACTGTGAGGTGGGAGCGCCAGGCCCAGAGCCCGCCTGCCTCGCCCATGCTCACTCCTGCACCTCGTGCTTAGGAGAGACTGCTCCTCGGCAAGGGGAAAGACGAGCAGGCCTTGCCGGAAGGAGAAGGATGCCTGGGCCACCTGGTGAGCTAGGAGGCCCAGGGGGCTTCCAGGAGCCTAAGCCAGGGAGGCTGCAGGCCTTGCGCACTCCACCGTCCCAGGCCGTGCCTGCCGGGAAACCAGGCAGAGAGCGCTGCAAGACGGGCATCCCGGTACGTGCTCTGGTGACGGAGGTTCAGAACCTGCTTGGGTGGACACACATGGCAGAGAGGGGATCCGAGTGCATCTCCTGGCCTGTATCACTCTGACTAGCGCCTCGGTGCTCCACGTGGCCTCCACGGGCTGCCTGGGCTGGGAAAGGCCGTCAGGGCCCCGACACAGCAAGCTGGAACGTCAGCGGGCATCACTTCGTCAGATGCAGACAGGGTGCTTCCCCTCGGGGACTGGACAGGTGCAGGCATGCTCGCCTTACATCTGAGAGCACAGCCTCGGGAGCCACAGGAGGGAGGCAGGGCCCACGCTGCCGGCTCACAGCCATGCTCAGAAAGCCAGGCCTCGTACCCTGCGGCCTCCCACTCCGGCAGACGCTGGTGCCCAGGAGGACCTAGAAAACCACGCGGGCCGGGGTCCACTCCCTGAGCTCAGAGCTGTGGCACTCAGCCTGCCGGGCCAGCCACAGGTCCAGCTCTGACAGCGCTGTCAGGGCGTGTGCAGAAACAGGAACCTTTGAAACAGCAGGCAGTCAGAGCCCTCGGAAGGCCACCCTGCCCCTCCCCAGGACCACCAGCACTGGCGGCCGAGACACGCTCCTCACTCAGGGCCCAGACCTCTCCCGCCACCTTTCCCGCCATCTGTCCCGCACACCAACGCCCTGGGGTCTGCACGGCCTCCCTTCTCTGCGCCTATTTTAAGCTGGCGTCCATCTGACCCTCCGACCTCCTGGCCCTGGCTGGCACTCCCCATCTCTTCACGTCACGGATAGACACACCCCGCAGCCTCGGGGCAGCGGGGCCCAGACTGATGGCCGCTGCCCCCACCCACCAAGGCACAAGGCAGGTCGTGGACCACACAGATGGCTGAGGGCAGCCCAGGGGACATCCAAGACCCGTGGTGTCAGCCGGCACAGGCCCTGTTCCGAGCAGGCGGCAGCAGCGTTCAGTCCTTCAGAGTCACAGGCCCCCAGTTCCCCAGGGTGGGCTCTCCATGGCAGCCGCTGACCTTGGGGTGTTTGGACTGACTCTTCACTAACACCTGGGTCTCCAGGCTGCCATGACCCAGCCTTGGCAGGGGCCCCTCACACTAGACAGGCTCCAAGGGTGGGCTTGTGACCCCACCTGCACGCTCCTTGGTCCCCTGGAGGCTGTCCAGTCCCAAAGGCAGGGCAGGACGCCAGCCCCTTCCTGCACCTCCATCTCCAGAGCTGGTGGCGCCCTCAGGACTCCTCTCCAATCTGGACGCCAACCCTTGTGGGACTGTGCCTTCCACCTCCCTCTGTGCCACCCACCAAGAGGGCCCGCCCCTGTCTTCATGCAGGTGACAAGTGGTTCAATTTTAACTTGAACACTGGTCCTGGCCGACACTCCCTCCTCCAACAGTGGAGCTGGACCTCACTGGTCCTGGCCCACACTCCTTCCTCCAGCTTGGAGCTGGACCTCACTGGTCCTGGCCCACACTCCTCCTCTAACAGTGGAGCTGGAACTCACTGGTCCTGGCCGACACTCCCTCCTCCAGCGGTGGAGCTGGACCTCACTGGTTCTGGCCGACACTCCCTCCTCCAACAGTGGAGCTGGACCTCACTGGTCCTGGCCCACACTCCTCCTCTAACAGTGGAGCTGGACCTCACTGGTCCTGGCCCACACTCCCTCCTCCAACAGTGGAGCTGGACCTCACTGGTCCTGGCCGACACTCCCTCCTCCAACAGTGGAGCTGGACCTCACTGGTCCTGGCCGACACTCCCTCCTCCAGCGGTGGAGCTGGACCTCACTGGTCCTGGCCGACACTCCCTCCTCTAACAGTGGAGCTGGACCTCACTGGTCCTGGCCCACACTCCTCCTCTAACAGTGGAGCTGGACCTCACTGGTCCTGGCCCACACTCCCTCCTCCAACAGTGGAGCTGGACCTCACTGGTCCTGGCCGACACTCCCTCCTCCAACAGTGGAGCTGGACCTCACTGGTCCTGGCCGACACTCCCTCCTCCAGCGGTGGAGCTGGACCTCACTGGTCCTGGCCGACACTCCCTCCTCTAACAGTGGAGCTGGACCTCACTGGTTCTGGCCGACACTCCCTCTTCCAGAAGTGGAGGTGGCCTCACTGGTCCTGGCCCACACTCCCTCCTCCAGCGGTGGAGCTGGACCTCACTGGTCCTTGCCCACACTCCCTCCTCCAGCGGTGGAGCTGGACCTCACTGGTCCTGGCCGACACTCCGTCCTCCAGCGGTGGAGCTGGACCTCACTGGTCCTGGCCGACACTCCCTCCTCCAACAGTGGAGCTGGACCTCACTGGTCCTGGCCGACACTCCGTCCTCCAGCGGTGGAGCTGGACCTCACTGGTCCTGGCCGACACTCCGTCCTCCAGCGGTGGAGCTGGACCTCACTGGTCCTGGCCGACACTCCCTCCTCCAGAAGTGGAGGTGGCCTCACTGGCAGGTCCAGTCTCCCTCTCCAGCACCCAACGGTCCCTGTGTTACACAGGCAGGACTCACTCAATGCTGTCTGTACTGGTCATCACCATTTCTTGGACCATGGCCTAAAGACGGGATCCACACCTATGTCTGCAGCCCTTCTTCCAGGGGAAGTGCCACACTCTACAGCCCCATGTCATTTCCTCCCCTCCAAAGCCGAATCCCGTCAACACAGCAAGATGGTCTTCCAGTCCTACTGCGGGCGTTTCTCTCTGAAACCCAAGGGCCACGCTGTGCTTTCTCTTGTGGAGTCTGCCCCTCCCCCCTGGGTCCCCCACGGCCTGCTCTTACAGTGATGATCCCACCTCCACCCGAGACCCTGCTTTCCTCATCCACCCGTGCCGTGGGAGAAGCAGGCATGAGCAGTGACTCTGTCCCTGAGTTCACGGGCGCCTGCGAGACCCCGCACAGCTGACCTCTTGGCCGCGGATGGTGAGCCACAGTGTCAGACAGAGACCTGGGGCAGCTGCCTGGGAGGCCTCTCCTATCTCAGAGAGCCTTCCTGAGGGGTGGCTCCAGCGACTGGGTCCTGCTGCCCCTCTGTGCCTCTGGCGCTCTGACTTTCTCTACTGAGGAGTTGGGACGTTCAGTGGGGTCTGCCCAAGGTACACCCCTCGGAAGACAGGGCTCTCTATGGGAATGTTTAGGTTGCTTTTCTCCCTGGAGCCCCCGTGAGGAAGACCCAGCTTTAAGTATTGCCCGTTTGCTTAGAAGGAAAGAGAAAACCCTGGAAAATTCTTAGCTGCTTCTTTGAAAAACCACAGGAAGAGATGAAAGTCTCTGAAACTCTAACTTTTTTAAGAAAGCTATCATTTGGCCCAAGTCTGATCTGAGCAACATTCAGCATCCTACGACTTTTTCCCAGGATTTTTTGTTGTTGTTAAGAGAGAGGATGATGCTCCTCCAGATGTTTATCTGGTAATTTTTTTATATAAACAAAGAAAAAATAGTTGAGTGTATTTTCCTCACTGTCAGGCAGAGCAGCAGGGCATCATCTCTGTGCCAACAGCCCCGTGACGAGAAGACCCTGGGCTCTGCAGCGGGGTGGGTCCATCACAGCTCGTGCCCACTGGTCTTTAGGTCAGGCTGCCGAGACGTCACCTGTGGCTTGACTATGCTGGGAATCTTTTCTTGTCCGCGTTGTTCCCTTTCATAACTTCTCTTCAAGTCGGAATCAGGATGAAATGCAGGGGACAAAGGACCTGTCACCCTTCCAGTTCTCCAAAAGGCAGGTTTTCAAGAGGGACCAGCAGCCTGTGACACCAGACCGGAGCCCAGGATCTTTCCCTGCCGAGGGTCAGCACGGGACACGGCTGCACGTCACGCGATTCTTTCCACAGGAAGCTTTCGGGCCACGCAGAGAAAGGCCGAGAGCAGAGCCTTCTCCAGCTGCAGGACGTCTGGTCCCTCAGAACTCCCGAACGCTCACTCCTGTGCCACTGAAGGACACTGGCAGAGAGAGGTTCTGCATCAGGATGTGGACTTTTCAGCCAAGTCGCTACAGGAAAATGACAATGTCACAGAGGCTCCACCGTCTGCTGAGGGGTGATGCCGCCTCTCTATGGGGCCTGCGGCAGGCGCCCCACTCGCTTACGGCCTTGAGGTCAGAAGCTCTGGTCCAGGCCGAGGGTCCTCCCTCAGGACCACCAGGGGCAGGTTCCAGTGCCACGCAGCGTCTCTAGCATCTGCTACTGAGCTCGCACAGCATGCCCCGGCCTTCCCCTTGGCCTGGGTGCGGTGACGCCACCCTGAGGTGGCTGCATTTTCTCCATCTGCAGCTCTCTGGCCAAGGCCACAGAGGGACTGTGCAGGGGAGTGGACTGGGAACTCAGATCTGGCCACGAGGCCTACTTCCCCATAACCGTGCTAGGTGCCTCCCCTGACCCTGACCCACAGAAGCCTTGTCCAGAGCGCGGCAAGGGAAGCACATGTCCACACTGTCCTCTCTGCTCCAGGGGAAGCTGCCCCCGAGCAGCCTGGGCAGTTCTCTAGAGATGCTCCTACGCCGGGAGTGCACGCACCGAGGCACAGCTCCCGCCACTGCCAATGAGACACCATCCTCACCGAAGCACCCGAGCCTGTGGCCTGGGGAGCTGGCCAGCCAAGTGCTGTCCTTGGTCGTTCCCCTAAACACAGCCCGCGTGCATGGAAGGAGCTCAACTGAGACTCCCACCATCCACTTCTTTCTGTGGCTTTAACTTTAAACACATGCCCCACAAAGGCAGGGAACGCTCACCGCTGTATGTAGGAGTTGTTCACGCCGCGGTGATCCAGGTCGTGGCTCAGCGCGGCGATCAGCAGCGCCAGGACCTCCAGGTCGGTCAGCTTGTTCTGAGGGTGTCGGGGAGGAGAGAGGCGGTGAGGGCGCTGCGCGGCTTCACCAGGACCCACTCTGCGGGAAGCAGCGTGCAGGCACCTGCAGCAGGGCACCACAGTGCCCCTCAAACAGAAGCCAAGGAGTCTCAAAAGTAGTGATCTGTCCACACCGAGGAAATATCATTTTGGGGGATTCTGGGGAAGGACCCCAGAGCCAGCCAAGGGCTGAGCCCTGAGCCACACCCCAGCCCCAGGCCACTGACTGTTCACTCTCTGTGTGTTTAGGGAACCCTGTGACAAGCCTTAATCCACTTTCCCTCCTTCAGTTCCCTGCAGACTGTCTCCCTCGCCTGTCAGCCGCGGCACCACTCAGAAATGTGGGCATGGGAACTCCAGCAGACCGCAGAGACCAGACGGCCAGGGAGAAAAACCTGGCTTTCGAGATGTAAAACTGTGTTCCCGAGCCAAACGTGGGTCATTTCTGAGTCTGCCTTACGGCCTCGGGGCTTCCAGATGCGAGTTGGATATGGCGCAGGCCCTCCTGCGGAATCGCTCAGTGCTACGGAACAGGTTTCTAAGCACACACAAAGACCGCTGCTTCTGAGCACCCTCTGCTTAAGTGTATCCTATGTCTCATGAACGTTTGCCCCGGCAGGGAAACGCTATCCAGCATCTGCACAGCCTCTAGGTCAGCGGTCACTTCTACGCCCGTGCTGGGCCAGCGCTCCACCACCGCTGCGGCCCAGCCTCTCCTGCTTTCAGATCTAGCCGTGTGAACCCCTGAGAGCTGAGACAGACAACAGCTGTGGACTTCATTAAAGAGCAGAGTGAGGAGTCTGAACTAATGGAGGCCTGGGATGGATGCAGGACCCGGAGGACGACTGCTGATCCCTGCTGGGATAGGATCTCAACAGAGATGGGGTGAGATGGGAAGAGCGATCGCCTGCACTGCGTCTGCACGTCTCCCTCCAGTCCCTGGTCAGTGTCGAAGGAAGCAGACCTTTCTACAAGGTAGCCCTCGGAATCATCTCAGTGCTCCAGAGGAGGCAGTGGAGAGCCCGGGGTCCCCAAGAGGCCCACTAGCCGTGGGCGGCTTCTGGGGGGCGCTGCTCTGCCTGGGGCGGAGGGGAGCACGGAAGGTGGGACTTTCTCACCCCTCCAGCGCTGCCTGCCACAGGCGATGATTGCTTTCCTACAAGCATTCTGGATAACAAGAGGTTTCCTAAGGGTCTGCGTGGCCGCTCGTACTGTCTGTGACAGTGAGCCACGAGGCGTTTTGCTATCCCAGGCTTTCCAACAAACGCGCCCTCTCCAAGTGGCAGGTAGCTAATTCCAGTCCCCACTAGTGCACATTAAAAGGACTTGGAAGACCCTGCCGTCCCTCTCCCGGGCACTGGCTCTGAGCGGCTCCATGCGCACCTGGATCTTGCCGGCTCTCAGGGCAGCGAACATGCACTGGGCAGTGTTGAAGGCGTGCCTCCAGTTGTGGTAGGCCACATGCTTCCGGTAGTTCTTCTTCACACTCAGGACCCACCTGCACAGCACCTGTGGAGACAGCACAGGAGTGACAACAGCCCAGCACTGCACGCTGCGGCACAGGCAGTCCAGCCCCATGCCCGACCCTGTGCACGAGGAAGCTCCTGGCCAGGGCCTGCTGGGGCAGTTCCAACCGGAGCCCAGGAACCACCAGGCTATCCAAGTTAGACATCAGATGCAAAACGCTGCGGACGGAGAAAGGCACCCTTGGCACGGCAGCACTGGCTGGCTCGTCTTGGTTGTTAGTGCACCGCAGCGTGTGTGACAGTGGGGTGCATTCTGACACATTCACACGTGCACAGGACAAAATCTGCTCATTTCCCAGGTCCCCAGTACTTCCCCTCCCCTCCCCTTCCCCGCCCCCAGATCTCTTCCTCTCTGGCCCTCCTTCTGTGATTTCAGGTATCTCTCCATTACAGAGGGACTTAAAGTGGAGTCCTGGGATCCGTTCACAGTGTACACAGCACAGTGCGGTCAGCTCCATTCTGCAGCCCCCCTGTCCTTCCCCTCCTCTCTCCCCCAATCCCCTTCCTCTATTGCTCTCCCTTCTATTTTCATGATATTTCCCTTTTTAAAATTCCTTAGTTTCCTGTGACTTCTGTATATGAGAGAAATCACCCAATCCTGGGCTTTCTAGTCTGGCCTCTTTCACTTACATGATGTTTATCAGGTCCATCCACTCACCAGTGAGAGATCACTTCATTCTTCCTTACAACGGAGTAAAACTCCACTGTGAATATGCACATTTCCTTTATCCATTCCTCTGTTGATGGACACCTGGCCCAGTTACACCACTTGGCTCTGTGACTGTGCTGCTATAAACATCAGTATGCCCACATCACTGTAGTATGCTGACTTTAGATCTTCTAGATAAAGACCTTCCTTTAAGGAATCTCCACACTGCTTTCCAAAGTGGCTGTATTAATTTGCAGTCCCACCAATGGTGGATGAGTGTACCTTTTCCCCACAACCCTGCCGGTGTTTATTACTGTTTGCAGTCTTGCAGGAGTGAGATGAACTCTCAGAAGTTCTGGTTTGCATTTCCATGATTGCTAGGGATGCTGAACATTCTTCACACACTTGTTGGCCATTGGAACTCCTTCTTCTGAGAAATGCTGGCTCAGTTCATTTGCCTGTCGATTGCGTGGGCTCTCTATATTTTTGGTGTTAAGTTTTTGAGTTCTTTGTGTATTTTGGATATTAACTCCTGTTGAAAGAGTAGCTGACAAAGATCTTCTCCATTCCATAGGCTCTCTCCTCGGGCTCATTTCCTTCACTGTGCAGAAGATTTTTAATCTGATGCCACCCCTATTTATTAATTCTTGGTGTTATTTCTTGAGCTTTAGGAGTCTTATTAAGGAAGTTGACCTGTGCTTTCTTATGACAATCAGAAATTTTCTGGTCTAATTCCTAGGGTTTTGATCCACGTTGAGTTGACTTTTCTGCAGGGTGAGATGGGGATCTAGTTCCATCCCTCTACATATGGATTTCCGGTTTGCCCAGCACCTTTTGTTAAACAGGCTGTCTTTTCTCCAGTGCATGTTTTTGGCGACTGTCGAGTGTCAGACGGCTCTAAGTCGGTGGCGTGTCTCGCGTCTTCTCTCCACTGGTCCCCTGTGGTACAGCCCGAGGCCAGGTGGTGGGCCGCCTCCTGTGCTTCTCTTCTTGCTCAGCCTGCTTTGGCTACTCTGGTTCTCTTATCCTTCCAAATGAATTTTAGGACTGTTTTTTCTACTTCTGTGAAGAATGTCACTGGTATTTTGACCGGGATGCACTAAATCTGTAGATTGCTTGCTAAGATATCCCACCCTGTGGCATCAATTAGGGGAGCCTGAGAAGCCACACCTGTAGGGATTCTCCCTCGGAGAGCAGGCTCTTCCTGGGCTCATGTGCTGCACATCTGCAAGGGTCATAGGTGCCAGGCCTTGGGGTGGGGTGGGGCGGGGCAAGTGCATGTCCAGCTCCAAGTCCTAACACACACTGATGAGATCTCTGACCTTTCAAACTACGCATACGTCTCGGGCAAAGTTACTGCTTAGCTACCAAGCACCAGGCTTTTGAAAATTGTATATGCAAAATAAAGCTCTGGGTCCACAGGAAAACAACAGCAGCAAAAGTAGCTTAAAGATGGAGAAAGAAGCTCATCTCTGAGCAAGTGCCACAGTCTGGGTTCATGAGCACTGAACACACTCCCAGAGCCTGGGCTGAGCCTGTTATTCTGGGTTTAGTTGGCGTCAGAGCATGAGACTGGTGCTCCATAGCAGGAGGGAAGACCGGTGGGTCTACGGACCACAGTCCGGATCTCCTGGGCCCCAAGAGCAGGTACAGCCCATGGCTGGCCTGTGGGGTCCGGCTCCCTGCCCCCAGTGACGTGGGGTCTGGCTCTCCCCGCCACCACGCAGTGACATGGGGTCTGGCTCTTCACCCCCTGCCAGTGATGTGGGGTCCGGCTCTCCCCCCATGCAGTAACGTGGGGTCTGGCTCTACCCCCCCCCATCATTCAATTCTTGACTTTCTAGTCTGGCCTCTTTCACTTAGCATGATGTTTTCCAGGCCCGATTCCCCCCCTACAGTGACGTGGGGTCCGGCTCTCCCCCTACAGTGACACGGGCCCCCCCAACAGTGACGTAGGGTTCGGCTCTCCCACCACAGTGACTCGGGGTCCTGATCCCCCCAACAGTGACATGGGGTCCGGCTCCTCCCCCACAGTGACATGGGATCCGGCTCTCCCCCTACAGAGTCATAGGTATGGTTCACTTGGAGAAGGACGGGCTCACACCTCCAGCTATAGACCTGATGCAGGACCCTGGCTGTGTCTGCCCACCTTCCTCTCTGGCCATGGGCCCCAAGAGCAGGCACAGCCCCCAGCTGGCCTGTCCCAGGCATGGGTGGACACTTCCATAGCAGACTGACAGACAGAGTAAGGCTTCTCTCCAGGGAGGACAGTGGTACCCGAGACAGGGTGTCCAACTGTGAGTGACTTGCAGGCCGAGTTATTCCCATATGGGCCTTCTGTCCACACTAGTTCTCGGGCACTGGACAGAGCACTACAAGGCCAACAATTCCTGGGTATCTCCAAATGGGAACGAGAAGGTCCTGACTCGAGTCTTCTGGGAGGCCAGAGTGAGGGGGTCAACCAGCTCTCGGCCTCACCCACAGGTGACCTGTGGGCACGGTTGGCCTCCCGTCAGTGCCTGGACCCTTGCTGCAGACAAGGACACTCACGATTGTCCTCCTTCATATACTGGTAGTATGTCAGCCACCACCTTGCACAGCCCTGGCTCGGACCTCCTGGGGACGAGAGCCCAGCTCCTCTGGACGGCTCCCAGGCCCCTCACCCCGCTCCTTACCCTGCTCGCACCCCACCTGTCCACTACCCAGCCTTCTGCATCCAGCTCCAACATCTAGAACACTCCCTTGACTTCGGCCTGGAGCTGGACAGTGATCAGTGCGTCCTGTGGGTCTTTAGAGGGACAATGGCTTTTCTTTTAACACAAGGAAACCCAATGACTTGGGAGGCCGGGCAGCGGGAGACTGAGGCCAGCCTGGGCAACCCGGCAAGACCACGCCTCAGAGGCAACACGGCCTCTCGGAACCCAGCAGTCCTTCGTCCAGGCTGGCGCCCAGCGCTGCCTCCCTGGCCGATGCCCCACCTCATGCTTCATCTGGAAGCGCTGCACGAGGCGGAGGTCAGTGAACATCCGGACCGTGCACAGGGCCGTCTCCAGGTCCGACAGCTCGAAGTCACTGAAGTGGAAGTCTGTGATCTTGAGGGTCTGGGCTGATGGCACCACGGCAGCCTTGGGTGAGAGGAGAGAGAGAAAAAGCTGTTACCTGAAGCGGCAGCAGACCACGAAGCCTTCTCACGTCGCTCTAGGGAGCCAGTTCACTGTGATCGTTCATTCTCTTGTTTTTAATGTGGCTCTAGTCTGGATTATGAAATGTCCCTCAAAGCCCATAGGTCAGTGATACTAAATAAAAGCCAATTGCTCTAAATGCTGCCCACCAGCTGCCAAGGCCTGCGTCCACCACGCCAGCACTTCAGCAGTGGCCACTGGGAATTCCGGTCATCCTGGCACCGTGGTCGAGGGGTTTGACTCTCACCCACGTGTGTCCACCTGCAAAGTCAGCAGGCCGGAGTGGACTGAGGTTCCACCTTCCCTGAGGCTCCCCAACCTTCATCTCTGCCCCAGCTCTCTGTGCCTCTCTCTACCTCCTCACCGTGGGGCCGATGCCGCACCATGAGTTATGGGGGTCTCGCTGGGGCCTTCCTGGGTAGGACCAGCTCTGCCCCTGATTCTCCTGCACTGAGGTAGGTGGGTGGGTGCAGCCTTTGCCACCACCCCTGACCAGAGGGGACCCTACCCGCTGTATGGTGTGGAGGAGGGTGGGCTGCAGAGTGCAGCCTCCCTGCTCTCTTCAGAAGGCTACAAATGAAAAACAACCACTATCAGGCAGCAAAGGCAGGAGCAGGCAGAGGGATGGGATGCACACTGCCCATCACCGCGGTCACGTGTGACATGCTTTCCCTTCACCAGCTTCACATGAGAGTGTCACTTCAGACCTTAAGAGGGACACACACAGAATATACAAACTCAGATAAGGAGTTTGTGATTTTAAAAATCATAAAAAGAAGAACAATCATAATTTCTAAAATCTGAGAAAACAAAGAGAGATTAAGAGTAGATTAAGAGACACCCAAACTGGTTCACACTTAGGCATATTGCTCCAAACACGGTACCCACACATCAACAGAAGTCATGCACAAGGACCCACATGTGAACTGGAGCCACAAACAGCCATGCACAGGACTCGGCACCTGGAACCCAGACCTGGTTCACACCTAGGACACAGTGTAGCTCCATACACACACCCCACAGGAGAACTGGACCATGCACAGCCATACACAGGGCTCAGGACCTGGAACCCAGACCTGGTTCACACCTAGGCCACAGCATATCTCCATACACAGACCCCACAGGAGAACAGGACCATGCACAGCCATGCACAGGGCTCAGGACCTGGAACCCAGACCTGGTTCACACCTAGGCCACAGCATATCTCCATACACAGACCCCACAGGAGAACTGGACCATGCACAGCCATGCACGGGGCTCAGGAACTAGAATCCAGATCTGGTTCACTTAGGCCACAGCATATCTCCATACACAGACCCCACAGGAGAACAGGACCATGCACAGCCGTTTATAGGGCTCAGGACCTGGAACCCAGACGTGGTTCACACCTAGGACACAGTGTAGCTCTACACACAGACCCCACAGGAGAACTGAACCATGCACAGCCACTTACAGGGCTCAGGACCTGGAACCCAGACCTGGTTCACACCTAGACCACAGTGTAGCTCCATACACAGACCCCACAGGAGAACAGGACCATGCACAGCCATGTACAGGGCTCAGGACCTGGAACCCAGACCTGGTTCACACCTAGACCACAGCATAGCTCCATACACAGACCCCACAGGAGAACTGGACCATGCACAGCCATACACAGGGCTCAGGACCTGGAACCCAGACCTGGTTCACACCTAGACCACAGCGTAGCTCCATACACAGACCCCACAGGAGAACTGGACCATGCACAGCCATACACAGGGCTCAGGACCTGGAACCCAGACCTGGTTCACACCTAGGCCACAGCATATCTCCATACACAGACCCCACAGGAGAACAGGACCATGCACAGCCATGCACAGGGCTCAGGACCTGGAACCCAGACCTGGTTCACACCTGGGCCACAGTGCAGCTCCGTACATGGACCTACCTGAGTACAGGACCATGCACAGCCATGCACAGTGCCCAGGAAGGGCTCAAAGCTGCCTCTGAACCTCCTGCAGGAAGTCATCTGCTCCTAACACCACTAGTGGCTAAGGTGAGCATGCCCATCGAAGCAGGAGCAGCCAAGGGAGCTCTGGATCCTTGCAGCTGAGTCGGAAGGAGCCAGGCACTGTCACTGACTTCCAAGATGAGCCCATCAGGTGACTGGCAGTGACAGAGGTGCTACAGGTGCAGGTCCTCGTAAGTCACCTGCTCAAACCTTCTTGGTGTAGCCTAGCTCCCCAGAGAGGGTTTTCTGAAAGCAGGGGACAAAGCTCCTGACCTGCCCACCAGCACTGACTCAGCCATTGCCCTGGACCACCCTGGTCCACCTCGACACTGTCACCAGCAGCTATTGGGAACTCAGATCATGATGAACCGGTGCACCTGCCTGGAAGGTGGAGGTCAGGAGGCAGACCTCTCTGGACTCCTGCCTCCAGTCCCACTTGTCCTCTTCTTGCCCTCGGGCACAGCAGGCCTCTCAGGACCCCAGCTCCGTCTCCCTCTGGACACACCTCTAGTGGCTGCAGAGACCCCCGTGAAGTTGTGGCCTGAAGCACAAGTGCCCCTCCAGGAGGATCCCAGGCCTGGCTGTCCTTGACCGATTCCCCTACCGCCTCTCCAACCAGGGCCATCACAGAGAAGGCAGGCCCTGGTCAGCCCACGCTGCCCGAAGGCTGGACAACAAGTAAGATTTTGTTTCCTCCCAGCGTCCTAATTTACTCTCTCGTAACCAAAGAAGCCAGCGGGGTTCCTCCTGTGACCTCAAGCGCTGGGCCTAAGGATCTTTCCAAGGCCCATCAGAATGCTGGGCTTGGAGTACTGCTTCCCTATACCCACCCCTAAGCCAAGAGAAGGTGTTCGAACGGATTGAAGACTCAGGCACAGCAAGGAAAATCCTGTCAACTAAGTCCCTCACCCTAACTTGAGAACTTTCTGTACACAGGCATAAACATGCAGTATATCTCAGCACATTGTTTGATTCTCCTGAGAATAAATTTCCAAAAATAAAAGTGAAGGAAACTTGAGGGCCTTTCGATTGCTTTTGGGTTTTAAAGTGAGACCAATGATGTCATGGAGACAGCAATTTTGGCAATTGATGTGGGGGGCAGACACCTGTGAGGTCGGGCTGCAGAGGAGTTTCACGCAGGGAGTGACAGCCGAGTGGAAGCCAGTTGCTGAATTTCAGTGGGTTTCAATGAATTGCTTGCCCTGCAAGTGCTGTGACCCTGAGGTCCCCACTGCAGCTGCCAGAAGCCACCTTCCCAATGGAACAACAGATGGCTTGGAACAATACACAATACAGCAATTTCCAGCTATTCCAGAGTGTTTTTTCTCTTGCTAAAATTATAAACATAATTGAGAAAATGGTTTTCAGATTCTTTTGAAAGACAGTCCTACTTTCGAAGTGAAAGGCAGAGTTTGGTATGCTGGGGGCTCACTTTTTTAACGTTATCTTTATAAATTCCTCCACTTGCTGGTTCTTATTTATCGGGACACGGTGGCAGAGTGACTTGGCCTCCCTAGTTCTGCTAACCAGTAGCCTGGGACCAGCACCCTGCTGTGTCCTCCCAAGGGGCAGTCCCAGCCCACGGCCCACACTGGAGAAGGAGGACGCAAGCAGCCCAGCCAGCTGGGCACTGCCAGTGGGCAGTGACCTCCAGACCACATGCCTTGCAAGCAGGGGAAAACTGCCCACTAAGTCCAATGCTAACAGGGCACCCACAATACAGGGCCAGTGCCACCCAGAACCAGGCCCAAGATGCCCTCCTTCCAGAGAAGTCAGCTGAGCCTCTGGTACTGCTCCTGGCCACTCGCTCCCACTCACGGGGTGCCCAACCTGCAAGTGCCACTGCCTCCTGCCTGCCAACGCGGGGTGCTGTGCCAGTGGGCTGCAGTCCCCGCTCTCCCTCACGCAGTGTGGCCTAGCGCCAGTCTCCTGCTCCCCTGGCTCCAGGGGCCCTCACAGCCCAGCTGTGCATTACCAAGAGAAGCCGGGCAGAAGGCCCAGCCCGTGGTGATGCTGCTCCCTGGCCATTCCTAGGCAGCTCGTCACACCTCTCTGTCATGTGCACGGACTTAACATCAGGGGCTGAGTGGGCAGACTTCCAGGTCCCCACCAAGGCCATGCCGAGTCGGGCAGAGCGCAGGGCGTGCCCCGAGGGTGTCCGTGCTCGTCTCCCCCTGGGCTCAGCGCACTGGCCTGTGTGGATCAGTTTCCCACACAGCAGGCCCAGCCGCGGGGTCAGAAGCGGAAGCCACACGGCAGACTGTGAAAGCCTCGTGTCACTGAGCCTGTCAGATGAAGGCCCCACAACAAGACGGAGCTGGGCCTTGGCCTAAGCAGGATGGAAGACTGAAGCCAGGGCTGGAAGCCCAGAGTCACGAGTGCCACCAAGCCAGCCGTCCTATGGCTGCGCTGAGATCGGTGACTCTGCCCGGGAGAAAGCAGAGCTGAGGAAGGTCCAGCGGGTGCCCAGTCGGCTCAGCTCAGGGTCGGAGTCCGGGAGCTGCGCGGGCAGCTGTCCCGGGAGGAGCACGTGGGCACCGGGGTGCGCTGCGGGCAGGGCCTGGGAAAGGAGGAAGGGCTTACCGCCAGGGCCTGCAGCTCCCTGGTCTCCTCCTCAGCCGCCGAGGCATGGTAGGACAGGACCTGCAGGGAGGAGGGCGGCGTCAGGCAGGCAGGAGACGGCAGGACAGTTGTCAGCTGACCTGCTGGGCCTCTCGGGAGGTGACCTGGCCCCTGGGAGCAGCAGACCCCAGCGGCTGCCCTCGGTACAGAGGGAGAACCACAGCTGGGGCTCTGAGGCTCCCCTCGGGAAACAGGAAGCTGACCTGGGCAAACACTGACTCCAGTTATTTTTGCTTCTGTACAGAAATTAAGGGAAAAGATTGCATAAGCTGACACCTTGAAGCTGAATTTGGGAGGAACAGGTCTTGGAGTGGAAGAGCAGACTTCACAGGGCAAGGCCGCATGTAGACTGCAGGGTCCCTGCAGCTCACTCAGCACACCCAGGGGACAGGGCTGGCACAGCAGCCCAGACATGGCGCCCAGACGCTCCTGAGGGCCTCAGCCAGAGGGAGAATGAGGGCCTGGAGCTGGCTCTCGCCCACCCCCTCAGTGTCCCCTGGGACGGTGACAGCCAGGCTCACTCCTTCCTACTGACCGCAAGACCCCTAGCTCCTTTTCCACCAAGGGACTGATTTTACTTAAAACATCTATCAGAGTTTTTAAAGTGACGACGTGGAGGTTCTGTTCTGAGGAGGCCACGTCCCCAGCCCCCAGCCACGTGCGGGATCCGAGTGTGGAGGGCGGGGCCCACAGTCTACCTGGGGACCGACACTCCTCTTTCCCCGACTTCCTTCCCTCATTTGAATGCTCAAGCGTGCTTTGGAGTTTTGCTGTTTGGGTTTTTAAATACTGCTTTTGTGCATATCCCCACGGAGGGAGGGGGCTCAGCTCTGGGCAGGGGGCAGGCCATGGTGGCAGACCCTGTGTTGACGGCCATATCCCGAGAGAGCTCTGCAGAAAAGCCAGGGTGTCCCAGCAGAAGCAGCCACAGGACCTCACAGGGTCCTGGAAAGCTCTGCGTGGGTCTCCCTGGCTTCCACGGAGGCCGAGGACCGGTGTGGAGCGGCGGCTTGCGCTCTGGCCCACCTCCAACGTGACCATCTGCTGGGCCATGGCCCGCTCCACCGCCTCGTACATCTGCGTGTTCTGGATGCCCAAGCCACAGAAGATGACAAAGGCCTCGAGGAACTGCTCGTCGCTGCGGCTGAAAGGCCTGGCCTCGCCCGTGCTCTCGTCCCTCTTGTTGACGAGCTGGCAAACCCCTGTGAGAACGAGAGGGAAGCCGCCGTCAGGTCCGGGCCGACGCAGCACCTGCGGGTGTGCTCTGCTGTTCTCCTGGCCAGTCTGCATCCCCCCCCCACCGCAGCTCGGAAAGCAGGCCAGACCTGTCCATGAGGGCAGCCCAAGCTGTCCCGACACACCGCTGCTGCGATCAAGAGTCCCGGAGGACGGTTCTCCTCCAGCTCAGTGTGGAATTGGATCAGTCGAGTCCCCCAAGACGATCTGTCCTTTAGAAACTAATTGGATCTTTGAGCACTTGCCAAGGGACGATCTGATGCAGCCTGGAATTCTGGGTCACAGACAGCCCTCCTCACCCAGACCTGGAGTTGGACGCAACAGCGCTCAGAAAGGGTGAGGAAAAGAGCAGCCTCACACAGCACCCAGTGGTCCCGGGATGCCCCGGAGCACCCGGGAGAGGCAGGTTTGCAACCCCTCGGATTCCACGGATAAAGCCATGGTGTACTTAGAAGGGCAGATCTGGCCGGACCTTCCAAGTCCTGACCCTCCTGGAAAGCCAAGCCTGGGGGAATGGAAGCCTGCGTCGACGTCAGGACAGTGTCCCCTGAGCCGACCACGGGGACCTGAGCTGGGTGTCTCCAGGAGACACGGCTGCCGCCGCCTGGGCTTGGGTCAAGCACATCGCCAGATCCTCCTCACTCTGTGTCTGGGTGTAGGATAAGACCTCTAGCTGGGAGCGGTAGTACGCGCCTGTGATCCCAGAGGCTCTGGAGGCTGAGGCAGGAGCATCAGAAGTTCAAAGCCAGCCTTAGCAATTTAGGGAGACCCTCAGCAATTTAGAAGACCCTGTCTCTAAATAATATATAAAAAGGGCTGGGATATAGCTCAATGGTCAGGTGCCCCTGGGTTTAATGTCTTGTACCAAACCAAACCAAACAAAAAAACAAAACAAAAACCTCTACCAGTTTCCACCAGACAGGCACCGTGGGAAGTACTGAGGATACCCATCTCCGTGTTTTAAACGCGTGCTTTCTCTGCACTGAAATACTTTTGAAGTCATCTTACAATCAGTAGCTCCTCATATTTTACTGAAATCATTTTTTTCCATTCATGGAGATAAATAAAATGTCTGTCAACGCATGGCCTCTTGTGAGCAATGAGGTGTGTTCTGCTGCCTCAGCAGCACAAGCACACACTCCGGGCGGGGTCTGCACCTCCACCCTCTCCTCCCATCAGTCCTGCCCTGTCTGCTGACAGGTAACAGTCACATGGTGTGACGTCGACAACGCCGGGGGAAGAGCCGATAGGGTAAGCCTGGTCCACCAACTCTGGTTCCCGTGGGTCTCCCGGATGGCCTGTTGTGGATGTCGATCAATACCTCACAGGGACAGGTACTGACCTCGCTGTGAATCTAACCTGGGAGAGTCAGCGTCTTAGAGATGAGGTCACTGCACTCGAACTCGGTGCTCCTGCTGCCGATGGCACGTCTGTGCGCCTGCCCAGGTTGCTCCCCAGGCTTTGTCAGGGGGAAGCTTTGCAGTACTGTTCTCCGACAAGCTGGTCTGCCTGTGTCCTCCCTGTTCATCCTCCACAGCCGACAACCGACCCTGGCTCTTGCCAGGACTTCCGAGCGGCTCCCTGTCACTTCCCACCCACGTCACTGCAGAGCTGCGGGCCTCCTTCAGGTCCCTCTGGGCTTCATGCCTCCTTCCGTGGGATCTCCTTGGGCCACACTGTCAGACTTCCCAGCAGCTTAGCCTGGAACAGCCTTGAGCATGGCTTGGTCAGTGGCCTTCGAGGGATCCCTTAGGGTCCTCAGTGTGCCCAGGTTTTCTGGAGCCTCACTCTGTCCCCGACAGAGCTCCCGCCGCCCCTCCCCCATCCTCCAGCCGCCCCTCCCCCATGTCCTTCCACCAGCCCTCCCCCATGTCCTTCAATGTTCTTCTTCTGCTCCGCCCCTATGTCCTTCCACCCCCCATGTCCTTCCCTCCCCCATGTCCTCCCGCACCCCCTCCCCGTGTCCTCCCTCAGCCCCTCCTCGTGTCCTTCTGCTGCCCTCTCCCCATGGGCCTCCGCAGCCTCCAGCGCCCTCCTCAGCCTCTGGGTGGGAGGCCTGCTCACAGTTGCCTGTGCTCGCATCCTCTCTGAACCCCCCAGTGCTGACCAGTCTCATCTCCTCGGAGTCTCTGGGGGCCGGCCGTGGCTCCATGTCCCTGAGCACTTGGGCCTTCTCCTAGTATCCTGTCCATGCTGTCGTCCGACTCTGCCTTGGCCCATCTTGTGTACATCGGGTTCTCAGAATGGCCCGTATTCCTGCCCGTAAGGATTCCTCAGTGCTGGGCAGGTGTGCTCCGGTCCCCGACCAGGCCTCCTGGGCAGTCTCCCTGGCCAGCTCCTGCAGCTGGCTCCTCGTGTCTGCTGGCTGTGGGCTGGCTGTGTGGCTGGCTGTGGGCTGGCTGTGGGCTGGCTGTGGGCTCGCTGGGCGGCTGGCTGTGGGCTCGCTGGGCGGCTGGCTGATGCTGGGAGCCATTAGCCAAGTAGGTATGACAATTTCCTTGCCAGCGTACCCCATGTTGCTTAGTGGAAGGACTCGTGGAAATAGGACATTTTGCAGTGACATTGCATGTAGGTGACCTGGCTCAAGGACCAGGGCGGATACGGGTTTAGGGTGTTCCCGGTTTAGGGCGTTCCCAGTTTAGGACTATCTGGGTTTAGGGTGGTTCCAGGTTTAAGATTATTCCTGCTGGGAATAGGGCGTATGCTGCTGCCTGAGTTCCCCTTGAGTTCTCACGGGATTTGGCTCCCAGCAGGCTGTGGGCTCGATGTGGGGCTTGCTGTGGGGCTGGCTGTGGGCTCGATGTGGGGCTTGCTGTGGGTCTGGCTGTGGGCTCGATGTGGGGCTTGCTGTGGGGATGGCTGTGGGGTCGCTGTGGGGCTCGCTGGGCGGCTGGCTGTGGGCTTGCTGTGGGCTGACTGTGGGGCTGGCTGTGGGCTGGCTGTGAGCTCACTGTGGGGCTTGCTGTGGGGCTGGCTGTGGGCTGGCTGTGAACTCACTGTGGGGCTGGCTGTGGGGCTCGTTGTGGGGCTCGCTGGGCGGCTCGCTGTGGGGCTGGCTGTGGGCTGGCTGTGAGCTCACTGTGGGGCTCGCTGTGGGGCTGGCTGTGGGCTGGCTGTGAACTCACTGTGGGGCTGGCTGTGGGGCTGGCTGTGGGGCTCGCTGTGGGCTGGCTGTGGGGCTGGCTGTGGGCTGGCTGTGGGGCTGGCTGTGAGCTCACTGTGGGGCTAGCTGTGGGGCTGGCTGTGAGCTCACTGTGGGGCTAGCTGTGGGGCTGGCTGTGAGCTCACTGTGGGGCTAGCTGTGGGGCTGGCTGTGGGGCTGGCTGTGGGCTGGCTGTGAGCTCGGCTGTGGGGCTGGCTGTGAGCTCACTGTGGGCTGGCTGTGGGGCTGGCTGTGGGCTCGTTGTGGGGCTCGCTGGGCGGCTGGCTGTGGGGCTTGCTGTGGGCTGGCTGTTGGGCTGGCTGTGGGCTCGCTGGGCGGCTGGCTGTGGGCTGGCTGTGGGGCTGGCTGTGGGGCTGGCTGTGGGCTTGCTGTGGGACTGGCTGTGGGCTGGCTGTGGGCTCGCTGTGGGGCTGGCTGTGGGCTCGCTGTGGGGCTGGCTGTGGGCTGGCTGTGGGGCTGGCTGTGGGGCTGGCTGTGGGCTCGCTGTGGGGCTGGCTGTGGGCTGGCTGTGGGACTGGCTGTGGGCTGGCTGTGGGCTCGCTGTGGGGCTGGCTGTGGGCTGGCTGTGGGACTGGCTGTGGGCTGGCTGTGGGCTGGCTGTGGGGCTGGCTGTGGGCTCGCTGTGGGGCTGGCTGTGGGCTCGCTGTGGGGCTGGCTGTGGGGCTGGCTGTGGGCTGGCTGTGGGCTGGCTGTGGGCTGGCTGTGGGCTGGCTGTGGGGCTGGCTGTGGGCTGGCTGCATGGTAATCGGGCCATCACCTTCCCTTTGTTTTCTTCCAGTTCTTCTGCCCTGCAGTTCTAGCCCCGGTGGCACTGGAACTAAGCAGGATTTACAACTTTCTCACCAGGAAGACTGGGGACTTTGGTGACAAGCAACAACACACAAGGCGGCCCAGGGCTGCACACCACCTGCCTCAGGAAACATCAGCGGGTACGTCACCAGCAAACAAACGTGTGTGACCTGCCGGGACAGAACTCACACAGGGACACAGTGAAGTGACACTCTCACCTGGTAACTGGAGAATCTCGTTCATGCCTTGGACTCACGCAGGCACACAGGTGAGAGGTCACCTACCCTAAGAGTCACCATCTGAAGCCCACACCAACAGACCAAGATGGGCGCGTCACGGAGGCCTGCAGGGAGCACTTCGGCAGGCGCAGGTCTGGGGGCTAAGCCCGGCATCCTCCGCAGCGTGGTAGAGCAGGGAGCTTGGGCAGCTCCCACAGGCCAACAGACGCGCCCCAGTAGTCCTGGGTCGCTGACCATGGAGCAAGGGCTGGTGTGAGGTGACCCATGGCCAGGTGACATTGCAGATGCACTTCTGTACATGAGGCTCCCTCCTGGGTACGGCCTCCCTGTGAGGTCCCGGCAGTCAGTGACCGAGGGGGAAACGTCACACAGGGACTTGCCGTCGTGAGGAGCACGGTGGCAGCCAGCTTCCAGCACACCGGGTGAGGAATGCGGGTCGGCTCTCCTCTGCCAAGCCATGGCCATGTGGCGGTGTGACGCTCAGGTTTAGACCTCTTAGTGGGTGCTCTGCTCTGCAGCAGTTCCACGGGCCCTCGGATCCCAGAGGCCGGGCAGAGACCCGGGCCACGGGCTTTCCACGCGGCATCCGCAGGAATGAGGGTGCCCCAGACTCCAATCCTGTTCTGGTCTCCTTAGTTCATAAAACAGCAGGGCCATTTCCTCCTCACACTGGGGACAACGCAGGCGTCTCCTGCCCTCCGAGCCACACAGAGGAGGTTGAGTGATCTGTTATTTCATTTACAGGGAACCTTCCCCTGGAAACCAAGGCTCGCTCACTCTGGGCAGACTGACCGGCCGTGTGGCCAGGCGGACAGCGGTGCTGCTTTTAAAGCCCTTTGCTTCTCTGTCTAAACAGGGGCAGGATGGCAGGCGTGAGTCCCGAATAGACCTGAGGGCTGCAGAGTCCCCTCCTCAGAGGTGTGTGGCCCGCCCAGGACCACTCCAGGGGACAGGGAGCGGGGGCCTGCTGGGTCCCCCTCCCAGGCCGAGCCCTGCAGTTCCTCCAGGACCACTGGGCGGAGTGCAGGAGCGGCCGGGCAGCGGGCACCTGGCTGGCAAACAAGGCTCCTCTGCGGCCCACCCCACGTTCCCCAGGTCCCAGGCAGCTTCCCGCGACCTGCAGGCTCCCAGGAGGCACAAGACGGCTGACCTTCCCCTTGGCCTGCGGCCACCACGTGACCCTGCCCTGGTGTCCCTCCTAAGGCCTCGCCCTCTTCTGTGTGGAGGTCTGGGGGACAGTGGCCCGAGGAGAGTCACACTCCTGGCCTGCCGTGTTCCAAGCATGGCAGTGGAGCAGCGGCCAGCAGGCTCCCAGTAGGCGGGCAACATGAGCTCAACAGGCCGACTCCCACCCGGGCTAGACAGCAGACCAGCGTGCCGAAGACAGACCACCTCTGTGCGGAGGGACAGTGACCAAGTCCAGGAGACTCATTTATGAAACCAGGACCTTCTTCGCACACGACAAGGAGAGGCTGGCCCCGCCCTTATCAGGCCAAGCCCACGGCTCAACAGGAAGGGGTCATCAGAGCACCAGTGTGTCCAGGGCACACGACTGTTGAGAGCCACAGCCGAGTCAGGATGGCATCTGGCATTTTGCCAGAAGGAGTGGTTGAGAAGTAACGCCAGCGAGCCATTGGGATGGTGATAATTAAGTTAAGCTGTGTATAATTATTAAGATAATGACTGATTGCTGTAACTGGATGATGCTAAATTGAAACCAGCTGTGTATTCAGTTGTGTATATAAACCTCTGCTGTCCGGCAATAAGGCGGCTCCTGCTACCTCCGGTGCCCGCTACTTTTGAGTTCTCGCGGAGTTCCCGTTGAGTTCCGGTTGAGTTCCCGTGGAGTTGGGGCAATAAAGTAGTTCCTGTTTGAACCTACAAGTGGCTCGTGACCTCCCGGTTTTTTGTGCCCAGCCAGACTGCGGTACACGACACTGCATTCTACCCTCTGGCAGACGAAGGGGATGTTCCATGGCACAGGACGAGGACGCCACAGGCTGCCCCTACCCCCTCCTGCTCCCCCAAGCAGTGGTGTGTGTGAGGTCAGAACACAGGAGCCCAGGACAGGCTCTCCCCGGCCCTCGACCCGGCCAAGCACTGCCAAAGCTGACCTTGTACCCCTCCTCCTGCGGACGCCCCCCTCCCTCCTTCTGCCGAGACTCTGCTCTAACCCAATCCCAGCCAAGTCTTGCAACTCAAAACTATTCACACTTTTCAAGGTAAATGTATCTAAGTGTTGCTTCAATTAGGGTTTGAATTCTAAAGTTTAATCTTTAGAAGGCACTTGTCTTCCTTTATTTCCAAGTTCTCAGGGAGATTTTTTCCCAAGTCAGTCATGAGGATTGGCATGTAAAGTCACATGCCCTCTGCCCTATACTTAATGTGACCTATAATACCAAGGAAACGTCGTTGAAAACAGGAGGCATCATGCACTTTTGAGAACACATTCTTCCACCATCCTGAACCTCTATGTGCCAATACAGGGTCCCCAGGGTTGGGACTTCTGCTCTGCTCCCCGATGTATCCCAAGTGCTAGCACGGTGTATAGCTCAAAATACACTTACTGAATGAACAAATGAATACAACCTATGACTAAACTACATACTTAAAAAATCAGAACCCAGGGAGCAAGATTACGGCACACATTGCCAACTTCTAATACACCACTTTCAAACAAAAAATTCTGGTGAAATTGAATTATAATAATTACGAAAATCTGTTTTTTTTCCTTAGTACTGGGGATTAAGCCTGCAGTGCTCTACCACTGAGCTACACCCAACCCTTTATTTTTATTTTTCAAAGTTTGAAACTAGGTCTGGCTTAGTTGCCCAAGCAGGCCTCCAACTTGCAATCCTCCTGCCGCAGCCTCCCAAGCAGCCAGAAGTGGTATGCACCACTGTGCCCAGGCAAAGACAGTTATGGTTAATAAAATACCTAACAAATATATCTGCTGGCATTCACCAACTTACAAGTATCTCAAAAGGCTTTTAGCATTCCAATCTTTATAGCTTCTTTTAGACAATTTATTCTTCAAATTTACACCCGAAAGGAGGAGTTGGAAACACATTTTAAAGAGCAAGTGCAGAGTACAGGTTAGCAGAAAGACTTTACCTATGACTTTATTCTTCTTCCCATTTTTTATGGGGGTACAGAGCAAACTGGTAATGTGCTGCTGGCTCACGGCTCCTGTGTTTTCCTTCTAGATGAAGACAGAAAGAAAGCCCACGTGACAGGAGGCCAACTCACCGGCAGAAGCCTCACCTGAAGCCAGGAGCGTGCTCACCTTTAACTACAGACAAACGTGAAGCGGAACACGCGGGTGACCGTAAGATCCACAGCAGCAGCCAGGCCTTTATTAAGGTGGCCTACCAGGTGTGCCGACACTTTAACTCCAGCAGGTTTTACTCAGCATCCACCACCCTGGTGAAGACCAGTGTCCACACGCTCTGCCCACCCCGGGGTCGGCCTGCCTCCCACCATCCGACTTAGTGATTCCCCTGCGCCTGCTGCCCGAGTGGCCGGTCTGACAGGTGTCCCAGCTGGGCAAGGGCACAGGACATGGGCGGCTCTCTCAGAGCACATGCCCTGCTCAAACACAATGACAGAGCCACCCACATCAAGGAAAGGTCCCTGTGCTTTGCTGTCCAAAGACACCTGCGTCCCCACTGGGAGCAGACCATGGCAGGGTACCAACTGCAGGAGTCGGAACCGGGAGGAGCTTCACGTCTACGGGTAAAACGGAGGAGCCCAGGAGCGCTCCGAGGAGTGCCACGCCGTAGGGGCAACGGCGGCTGCCGGCCTGGCATCCAGCCTCTGATCACATTCCTTTAAACAACTAGAAAGCACAGAGAGAGCCAGGCCAGCCACTCCCCACGACTGTGCGTCCTCCCTCACCAACCAGGGAGCGTCAGCTCCCAAGACAACAGCCCAGGGCCAGCCCACGGGGAGGGCTGGCAGGGCAGGCGACGGCAGCAGCCTCCACCTCGGTGGACCGCAGGCACTCACCGTCCAGGGCAGCCTTTGGTCCCTGCTGACGTCGGGGACATTGAGCGGCTCCATGGTGTTCTTGACGTACTGAGCGTACATGTAGTTGATTTTGCCAGCATCTCGCTGCCTGTGAGAGAAGAGGCCTGAGTGCGTCCTCTGCGGCCAGCAGATGGGAGGACGCCATGCCCACAGCTGAGGAGGACCCGCGTCTCTGCCCTCATGGGGCCACACCTGCACCTTGGCTGAACACCCCCGCCTTGGGGGTCACTGGCGGTCACTGGCTCACATGTGTGGAAGAGACAGCTCCCACAGCGCTTCAGCATCTCAGTCTGCAGCGCGTCGTCCGGGCTCCTGTTATGACCGAGCCGCCGCGGCCTGAAGTGTGCGCTCCAACAACCCCCAGCTTCCGAAGCCTGGAGCCGAGCTGGAGGCCTCCTGTGGGCGGCACCAGAGGCCCCGTCCAAGACGGCCTTCCAGCCGGGTGTGCAAGGGGCCTCCGTGTCTGAGGGGTCCCTCGATTGCTCGTGAATGTCCACACTCTGCAGCACATGGGGCCCCCGCCCTTGGGATGAGGGAGGCCCAGCCGGGTCATAGGACACTTTCTGTGTCACTTAATGAAAACTCACATGGACTCCCCCACAGCGTCTTTTCAGAAGACGCTGAAGAGTTTCGGAATGACCAGGGCCTGGCATCCTCAGTTACCTGCCTCACAGTGGCACCCCCGCAGGGCAGCAGGGACAGCTCCCAGTGAGGGACGCCGAGCAGGCCTGGGGACGCCCTAGGTCTCTCCCGTAGTCTCCACGTTCCTGCTTGTTCCTAGCACCTTGCTCGCCTCAATCTCATCTCCACGTTCGTCTTTTTCTGCTGTAAGGTCTTTATGGCAGTCATTGAAATTTAAAAATCATCTTCCTCAAAAATTATTTAGAGCGTAAATACTTCCACTGATTTTTTTTCCCAGTCCCTGGCTGAATAGGTTGACCGCAAAGACTCAGCCTGCCGGAGCAGGGTCGTGTCAGTGCTGGCAGGGACAGGGCAGAAGCACCTTCTCAGGGCCTCCTGTGCTCTGGTGGAGGTAGCGAACCTGGCAGAGGCTGGGGTTGGGCAAACCGACCCTGGTGTCAGGACCTGCCAGTCTCACTGTGGCCTCACCAGCTGGGCATGGGTCCAGGCAGGAGGGACATGCACACACCAACCGTCCAGGGTGGGAGGAAGGCCACTGGCCCCTAACCTCACAGCTCCAGGCGGCCTCTCCCATCCTCCACGCCTGGCCTGACAGCTGCCCCCAGGGACGTGTCACCATGCCCCTGAGCCCTGGCGACTTCCCAAGTTGCGGGCCTCTCTCCTGGCCAAGGTGCTTTAGCCTCTCCCCGTGGATGTGATGCCAGCTCAGACCTAGTGCTCAGCACGAGCAGAGCCAGGTGCCCATGAATGAAGGAAAAGGCAATGCCAGGCGGAACCCGGAGCCGGCGCCCGCAGACCGCCTGAGGCCCAGGACAGCTCCGCTGGGAAGGGCAGCAACCAGCGCCTCCGTCTGCAGAGATGCTCCCGGCCCCCTTCATATTTGCCACCCGGGGAAGGCTCAAGAGGAGCTCCTAAGTGTGGGCTGTGGGCCGGAAACGGTGTGTGAGACCAGACTCCTTTACAACAGGGCCCTGGGGCAGGGGCCAAGAGCCCGCTGAGGTCAGCCCCAAAGGTGAGCCAGGTGGGTCAGCCACACCTGGGATCCCAGCCACTTGGAGGCACTGCGAGGAGGAGGATCCCAAGTGCAAGGCCAGTGTCAGCCACTTAAGGGAGACCCTGTCTCAGAACATAAAAAGGGCTGGGTGCAGCTCAGTGGTTAAGTGCTCCTGGGTTCCGTCCCCAGTACCTCTCCACACAAGAGGAGGAGGAGGAGGAGAGGGAGGAGGAGGAGGGGGAGAGGGAGGAGGAGGAGGGGGAGGGGGGGGAGGAGGAGGGGGAGGGGGGGAGGAGGAGGGCGAGGGGGGGAGGAGGAGGGGGAGAGGGGGGAGGAGGAGGGGGAGAGGGAGGAGGAGGAGGGGGAGAGGGAAGAGGAGGAGGAGGGGGGGAGGAGGAAGAGGAGGGGGAGGAGGAGGAGGAAGAGGAGGAGGGAGGAGGAGGAGGAGGAGGAAGAGGAGAAGGAGGAGGGAGGAGGAGATGGAGGAGGAGGAGGAGAGGGAGAGGAAGGAGAGGGAGAGGGAGGAGGAAGAGGAGGAATGAGGAGAGGAGGAAGAACAGGAGGAGGAGGAAGAAGGGGAACAGGAGGAGGAAGAGGAGGAGGAGGAGGGTGGCCACCAGGAGACCAAGAGCCCTGTGCGCCTCTCGTAAGCAGGTAACAGCCGCAGTCGCTGCCACCGCTGTCATCACCACCCCGTGAGCGGCCGCAGCCAGGAGACCCTGAGTGGTCCCAGGGCTGGAGAGGAGCACTGTGCTTCCTGACCTACACAAAGCCAAGTTCACCCTGTGCCCTGAAAGAAAGGCTGATCATTCCCAGCTCCTGCGCTCAGTGAATTCAGCGTGACCTGCTCTGAGAAGGCTGCGTGCTGCCTGGGAGAGATGAGGGGACAGGGTGAGTGACCAAGTGGCCGCCTAGGCTCCTGATCCGGCAGGAAGCTGCGGCGGTAGCATGTGCTCTGGGTGCGTGTCCGCCTGGGTTGTCAAGCAGAGGTGCTGGCTGTCCTGGGAAACTCTCCTTCCCACCCAGAGGGAAACTGCCCTCCGCTGCCCCAGCGGGCTGCTGTCCCCAGAGCTAAGTCCGTCAGCAGGATGTAAAAGGCAGTGTGGTGACCCCAGCCCTGCCCTGTCCTCGCTGTTTAGAACAGGGACGGGAGGGCTTGGGCTGCCCCTCGGTCCCACAGGGAAGGGCCACATGCCAGGGATGCCAAGCAGCAGGGAGTGCCCGGGTCCCTGGCGTGGTGAGGCTCTCCCAGGAAGGAGGACGCCGCGTCCGTCTGGGTCTCATGACTGACCCCTCCTAGCTCATGCAGCTGGTAACAAGCCACCCCACACATGCAGGGAAGATGCCCCAGCACGGGGTGGATGGCAAGGGGACGGGTGGCCCTGCAAGGCTGGCCAAGACTGACCCCGGAGTGGGGCTGTGGACACAGGAGGGAGCAGGACCTCACAGTGCTGGAGAGGCCACCACTGAGCCGCACAGGCTGGCAGGGTGGAGTGCGGCTTCAGCCTGCAGGTGCCAGGCAGGCAGAGGGCGGGAGATGAAGAAAGGGCCGTGGCAGGAACGTGGGCCTCACCCTGGCAATCGCAGGGACACTCAGTGGCCCTAAGGAGGATCCTCTAGGAGCACACCCACCGCATCCCGGGCTCTGCGCCAGGGCCACCTCCCAGAACTGCTCCTGCAGACTGAGCCCACATGGTGGCACCAGGACCCCGCCACAGGGAAGCTGGCAGGAGAACTCCCCAGCACCTGCTCGGACCCCTGCCCTCGTCCCGGCTGCGGTCTGCATCAGACTGATTTATTTTGGAATGAGGATGAACCCCGGGTGCTCCAGCACTGAGCCACAGCCCCTCCTTTCTGCTTTTTTAAATTTGGGAGAGGGTCCTGCCGAACTGCGAAGGCTGACCTTGGACTTGCTGTCCCCGGCCTCAGCCCTGAGTCTCTGGGATCACAGGCCCTCCTTCCACTCTCTCAGGCCTCCTGTTCCTCTCGCACACCTGCCCAGTCCTGGCGTCTGGTTCTTGGAGGTCTGGGCCAACTCAGGCATCAATGGACTCTGCACAGTGGACAGCAGAGGTGACACTGCAGGGGACTCTTGGGAAGGCCGTCAGGGACACGGAGCTGTGGAGGAGGCGCAGCATGTGCCTGCCCTGGAGCCACACAGGGCCCTGAGTCCTGCCGTCCGCCATCCCGGAGAGAAGCCGCGGCTTCAGGACGGTTCGGTGTGCACCAAGTCCTGCTGCCGGGACGCGCTGGGCTTGAACCACGGAGTCAGCGGGAGTCCTTGCCTCTTCCGTCCACAGTTGTGTGAGTGCTAAGGACCCTCTTACCACCTTTCCCTATTTAGTGATGCTCGGGTTTTCTGATACGATTGTCGGTGACGACTATGGGCTGGTGTCTCCTCCCAGGAGGTGGGCTCAGGGGTTCCGGCCGCGGTGTCCTTTCACAATAGCCTGTGCGTCCACGAGGACCACAGTCTGCTGGCGTGGAGGACAGTGCCCTCACACCTGCCTCAGAGCCAGGCCAGCCACAGCGCCACCTCTGTCCCTCCCCTAGTCAGTTCTCGGAGCCACAGCACCGACTCAGCCCCCCACAGCGCACCTCCGTGGGATTCTGGGCCCCACCTCAAGGGCTCACCATGCTTCACCCTGACGAGGTGGACTTAACGAGGACCCGCAGCGCGCACCCAGAAAGCCTCCCAGTTCTCCACCCGGCCCTCTCCACTGGTAACCTAAGAAGCCTGGTCTGTCTGCAGCTAACGTCACCAAGCTCCCACCCTCCCCCACTGAGGGCTGGGTTTGTGGATACGAATTCAGACCCGGACTAGAGACCCCCGGGTGAGCAGAAGTCACCGCTCAGCCCCCACTTCAAAATGCTGAAGTCACTGAACGCTGGCTGTGTCTAAGTCAGTTTTTATGCAATTCACCCTGATATGTGAATCTTATTGAAAAGTAACCTTAAATGGAACTTTCATTCATGACTGGGGGTCTTCTAGGGCAGGATGAGAATAAAAGCTGATTTAAAAATATGTAGCTGCTCTAAGCCATTTGCACGGAATGGTTTTTATTGCTTTAAAATTAGTGAATAAGTCGGCTAAGATGGGTCTTCTAAGGTCACCATACGGGCCCCCTCGTGCTCTGTGAAAGCGTCTTTACGCTCAGGCTGTCCTGGAGGGACTGGAAGGCCACCGAAGGCCCTTCTCAGGCTGACAAGCAGGTGGTCTTCCTGAAGGAAGCGCCGCGCCTGTTCTAAGAATGCACCAGCAGAGGGCGCTGAGACCCCGAATCACTGGGCTCAGCCACGGGGGACGCACAGGAAAGTCAAACCGCCAAGAGATGAAGTGAGTCACAGAGGTGGGCGCTGCTACACAGAGGTGTAGGGGCAGACGAGGATGATTCGTGACTCTACACCTTTAAGAAGCATCATCCTAGCTCTTCTCTTATTCTCCGACGGAGATAAAGGTGAGGAGACACATCTAGACGCACAGACCTTTACTTACATAAATGACTCAGCTCTCTCCAGTGGAAAAGCAAAACACAGACACCTCAGGGGCCTTACAGGCAACTTGCTAAACTACCATCAGAGATGCGACAGCACATCAGCGCTCTGCTAGGGCGGCGAGCCCCCTGACAGTGGCAGTGTGCAGACCAAGGCTGCTGCACACCAGGACGTGCACGTCACACGCGCAGCTCCAAACACGCAACACACGCCAACACAGGGCGCGGGAAGGACAGGGCCCGGGTGGACATAGGTGTCACTCACTGCCAGCAGGACAGAGGGCAGCGAGGGCCAGCCCTCATGTGAGTTATGACCTCATGGGGCTAAGCCCCAGGGCACTAGCAAGGTCTCTGGGAGAGGCCAGGCTGACCGCCTGACCTCCCCACCACGGTCAGGCTGGGTAAGGTGCACCTTCAGTATCAGTGAGCTGCCGTGGCTTCTGAGTCACCTCAGCCACGAGCAGCCCCAGATCCTTTAAAGGGAGGGAAGATCTTTCATCCTGCCAAGCTGCTACAGTGACCGCTGGCCTGAGGGGTCTCACCTAAACACACCCTCGTAGCCAGCCTCAGCTCCGTTCACTGGGCTGTTTCTGCACCTGGCCAGGGAGGCTGGGGGGAGGACGGTGGGCAGAACGGCAGGTGCAGGCCGAGCTCCCAGGCTGGCAGCACCAGGAGGCGGAGCACACCAGGCTGCAGGCCGGTGGTCATTGTGTTCCTACAGCTGGGAACTCGACATCTGCTTTGTAGGGTCTAGAGATGACTTCTGTTTTACATGGCTTTTCACTTTTTATTAAAACATTTTCTTCCAAATCTTCTGGATGAACTATTTTTAAATGGATATAAGAGTCAAAGAAACCCAAAGGTAAACTGAGCTCCCCGCGGGGTCTCCGGCTCTTCATCTCCAGCCACCGCGCTCCGTCTACACCGTATGGGAGCTGCACTGACTCACTTGGCCATTCTCGTGCACTTACTTCTCTGCACTTGGCTCAGCCATTTAGAGTGAGCTGCGGACCCCAGGACACTGCCCCTGGACCCTGCAGCATGAGTCTCCAGAGCGGGGGACGTCCTCCCCAGTGATGGGGACAGGCTCCCTCGTCAGGATGCCCAGTGTCCACCCAGCATCTGGATCTCCACCTGTGTGTGTGAGGGGCTCTTTTGATCATGGCCTGGTTCTGAACTGGGACCCCCACAGAGTTCCAGTCCTGCCTGGGCTCTGGGCTCTGAGCACAGCACCTTCCTCCCACCGTGTCGGGGGATGGCACTTGTCTGGCAGAGGGTACACAGCCGGGTGTGCAGGGAGGTCCTTTCAGAGCCATGGGCCGAGGAGCTCAGCACTGACGCTGACTAGAGGCCACCCCACCCGCCACGTGGACAAGTCTGGGAAAGGCCGGAACCTTGACGTCCCAGGGAGGCACAGCAGCCTCTGCTTCCACGCGAGGCCCTGAGATAGGACAAGGGCCACGGGGGAAAGGGGTCTTCAGCAGTGGAAAGGGAGCGAGGTGGGGAGTGGCACGGGGGCTCCCCACGGCTTCTGCAGACTGGCATTCCTGAGGGTCTTCTCACCTGCGAGGACATGCCAGCTCGGCTAAGGGTGACAAAAGGACTGAGTGAGAGCTCTGGCCCTCTACCCTGAATGTGTTGCGGATTCTTCAGGAGGGACAGTGGCATCCATCCTCCATCCCATGAAGACCTTACGCTGCTCAAACAAGTCACCAGCCAAGACCCCAACGCAGGTTTGAAAACACCGCAAAACACAGAAAAGAGCTGGAGGGCCGTGGAGATCTGGTCTGTCCAGGCCCCGGCTCCTTCTGCTGCTAGATCAAATCGGAGCAGGAACCTACAAAGTCCCCAGAGAGGGGCGAACAGGCTCGTGAGCAAAGGTGCTCAAGACGCAGTACTCCTGGGTCCTAATGAGCTCGTGCACAGTCACTCCACACCCAGTCCCACACCGGTCACCCCGGACACTGTGACACGGTCCACAGACAGGCCGGTGCAGTGGAAAGCCTGGGGCTCCATCCCCACAACACCGTGGGGAAAACGGCCCCGGGGAGCGTGCTGAGCCAAGCTGGTGTGAGACCCCGTGAGAAGGACAGATGGTAAGTCACTCACCTTGCCAAGGTATCCGAGGATTCTGCCTCTTCACACTCCATGTGAAACACGCTAGAAAAGGAGTCCTGAAACAGAAGACGGGAGGCTGAGGCTTGGCGTCGGCAGAGCGCAACCCAGGCGCGGGCGGCTGCTCCTGTCCTGCTGCCCCAGCGAGGCCCGGCTCACGCACAGGCTCTTGCAGCTGTTCCCCACGTCTCGTCTGGTTTTGACGGGCAAGAAGGCCCACCGCAGCCCGCGCTGGTCCACTGCTTTCCCACCAGGGAATCCTACCCGGATGCTGTTATTACACATAGGCAACGTGCCTGTGGGTCACACGGTAATATTTTATCATCATTGAAGTAACACGAAGACTTGGGTGCCGTAAAAATCACCCTTGAAATCACACTTAAAAAGCAAGACGCCCATCTGCCCCGTGCTACAGTAACACCTGAATAAAGGAGAACTGGAAAGGACCATCAGAAGGGGGTGTGATCAAGGGCGTTTGGAGAGGCTTTGATTTTATTTTTGCTCATGTCGAAATATTTTAATGCACAGATAACTGCAATAGATATGAACCAACAAGGCACCTGATTCCCTTTGTAAATGTAGCAACGTAAGTTGTAAAAAAGTTAGCAAAACATATTCACGGCTTCTTGTCATCTGTAGTCCAAGGCACCGCTTTTCCAAATCAGCGTGTTACCACGCAGGGTGCGACCCAGCAGAAGCTCGCACTGAATATCCATGAAAGTGATATTTAAGATGTTTAAAAATAAGTGCTTCATGTATAACTTTCAAAAATTAAATGCCAAAGAGCAGGCCGTGAAGGCTGAATCTGACATGGGCGTTAATGGATGCTGACCTGAACTTTAAGGCTGACAACTGTCTTGTGATCAGCTCTGCGTCAAGGGTTTCGTGACCAATTTAAAACGTGAAAGAGCACCTATGGACATGCGGACTATCTTTTTAGCACAGTGAATTTTCATTTGCTATCCTTTTGAATCAGCCACTGTGACACACACACACACACACACACACTCACACACACACTCACACGCTCATACACACACACTCATACACACAGATGCACACGATGACGGGCCACACAGCCTTCCAGCTTGTTAAAGTGCCTGGTTGAATGCTTTTCTATCCTACTTTCCCGGTGCCACACGGACCCACGCGGACGCTCTTCCCAGTTCCACGGAACTGCGTGGTCTTAAAGGAAGAAGGACCACGTCGGAAAGAAACGTGCAGAGGCGATGGTTCCTGGGTCCAGGAGGCTCAGAGACCGCACAGAGCGCAACAGCGAGGGCCAGGACTCGACTCTCCTGCCAGACTCGGGCAGATGCCCGTCTGTGGGTGGCCAGCACTGGTGTGAGCACTCCCCTCTCCCTACACCCTGGGCTTGTCCTGTGCCTCCGCCAGCAACAGAAAACTGCGCTCTAGAGGGTAAAGTCGGCCTTAGGAGGTGGGCAGTGGTGGGTCGGGACGTTGGTGAACGTGAAAGCATCTGTGATTTCATCACCGTGACTACCCCACTGGGAGGAGGTGCCCAGCGTCACCCAGCCTGCAGAGGGCAAGTCAGACCTTGTCGGTGCTGACAGGTGCCAGACTGGTCAGTGCCTGGAGTAACGGCCTCTCTGGGCGACACCTGTGGTTTGCAAGACCCTGTGGGAAAGGGAAGCTCTTCACCCAGCACTCAGCCAGGTCCACCTGCTTAGAGCAACAGGGCACCCCGCCCTGCCGTGGAAATCGGCACTCCGCAACGACTTCTTCCCATCCAGAGGTGTTCATCACCTCGCCACCTACACAGCGACCTCAACAGTGTGGCCATGGGCTACGCAGTGGACACAGGGTGGCCATCATCATGGTACCTACACAGTGACACAGTGTGGCCATCGCCATGGTGCCTACGCAGTGAGTGACACAGTGTGGCCGTGGCCATGGTACCTATGCAGTAGACACAGTGCACAGTGTGGCCGTCGCCATGGTGCCTACGCAGTGGACACAGTGTGGCCATCATCATGGTGCCTATGCAGTGGACACAGTGTGGTCATCATCACGGCGCCTAAGGAATGGACCCAGTGTGACCGTTGCCATGGTAACCGTGCCAGGCCACAGGGTAGCTGTCGCCATGGTTGAGTAGTGGTGGGGTCCGGGGGTCTTGGAGAAGCCCTACACCCCACTCACCCCTCAGCTAGACAGGCACCTAGTGCCACAGGGACAGCTGTGTGGCTGGGCCAGTGATGGGGCCCTGTGCACACGCTCCCAGGGCCGTGGCTGTACTCACGGGGCAGTCTTCGTCCACTATGAAGATGGTGCAGCTTTGGACCTGCATGAAGGAGATGATGGTGGCCGCTATCTTCTTCAGAATCACCTCTAGTGACTGCTGCTCCTCAAAAATCAGGCTGGCCAGGTCCAGCAGCACCTAGAAGGAGGGAAGTGCCAGCCTGCAGGGGCTGCCGCAGCCGGCAGCGAGCTGCCCACGTCCTCACTGCTGCTGTACGGCTGACCGCCCCAGTGCTGGGGCAGCAGGCCTGTTCTGCCTGCTGGCCACACGCCCTGATGACCATCAGGATGGCCACACAGAGGCTAGGCTGCAGGTGGGCAGCGTCTGGCTAGTCCTGATGACCCCTCCACTAGCGTGACAGGGACAAGCTTCCTACCACAGGGTGCTCGCAGCAGTGAGCGGGTGCTGCTGTGGGGCTGAGCACTACAAGGTGTTCTGAAGAGCGTCCGGCAGGCGGCACACCGGGATCACTGCCCCCCACACCCAGATCAACCTTCACCACACGCCAGTCTTCAGAGAGCTCAGCTCTGCACAAAGCCAGCGTAAGAGCCCCTGTGCCTTCCTGGGACTGTCTTCTCTGAAGCCAGTTTGCTGGAGAAGACCCGCCCTGGCTGAGGCCTAAGGGTTCAGGGTCAGGCGACAGGAGGCGAGTCCACAGCAGCACATGGAATGTGTGTGGAGGGCAGAGCCCGAAGAGGGGAACGCAGACCAGCAGGAAGGAAACATGCCCGTCATGTTCAGACGGCAGAGAAGGCACGGAACGTCCACGGCAGGCAAGAGCAGGCACAAGGCGGGCCCCATGCTCTCCGGTGTCCACTCACACCCACAGAGGCAGCGGGCACTGTGGGTGTCCCTCACCTGCAAGTCTCAGAACGCTCACCTCACTCGTACCATCTCTTAAGCACTTAATTGGGAATGTGCTGGAACAAAACAATCAGGGATCTAGAAACCAGGGCACTAACCAGAGGGCCAGAGCAGGTTCCGTGGGACATGTGCCTCGTGGTTGCAGGACAATACGCGAGTTGTCAATGTGGTGATAATGAAGACAGTCCAGAAGAAGCAGGCAGAGGAGTGGGGTGGGGGAGGAGGCTGGGGGGATGGCGGGTGCTGGGTGCAGGTCTCATGGCGCCCAGAACCCAGGGACGGCAGGAACTAACGCGTTACTCAACAGCGCCTGGGCAGCAGCTGGACACCCACATGCAATGGGCAGGGTGAGGGCCACGTGAGCCTGCGCTCTCAGGTCAGCAGACGTCCACAGAGGTGGGGCGACCGAGCAGGGAGACAGGAATCGGTAACAGCTTCCAGAACCCAAGTGCCTCTGAACGTCTGACCTAGTGCCCTGCACCTGAGCCAAGCCAGGACTCTCCCGTGGGGACACCGACACCCGCAGCACTCACCTGGTTCCTCCTGTTCTCCAGGAGCGAAGTCTCGTAGAGCTGGGCATTGTGAAGCACGATGCCGCAGAACGCCAGGTAGGCAGCAAAGTCCTGCAGAACAGCAGCCGAACCGTCAAGGGGCAGTGCCCAGACCACTGGCACCCAGGTCCACGGTGGAGTGAGAGCCACGAGCCCAGGTGCAGGTGGCACTGATGCCAACCAAGTGGGCCAGTGTGTTCTCAGTCTCCTGGGCACGGTAGGTCTGGGCCAGCAAGAGGAAGGGGAGAGGGGCTGGGAGGGGGCTTCTTCACATGAGACCGCCATCTGCTCTGTGCAGAATCTGCAGTGGCCTCCACACGATGCTGAGACTCAGGCCTCTGCTGAGACTACATGGAGCCTGCCAAGGGTTACTGCCGCAAGCAAAGGCACATCTGCCATCAGGACAAGGACAGCAGCAGCGATGCAGCCACACACTGCATCAAGGTGCAAGTAACACTTCCAATGTGCTCTTTAAACACGGACCCTCACAGCACCCTGAACACCCCCTCCTGGGGTTATGCGCTACAGTCATGTTAATTATCAATCCAAGCACATCTTGAGATCGCATGCTTTATCCCACAACCATGAATATATTTTGCCAAGATGTGATAGAGCCTAAAACTGCAAATTCATTCAAGAGGGCTTCACCTTAAAGGGCTATAAACACAATAATGGAATAAAGAGCCAATCCAGAACCATGCTTTCCCACCAAATATCCGCAGTTGTCCCTGGCAGCACAGGAGGCTAGATAGGTATTCAAAGGTACTTGCTATGCTAAAGCATAAGGACAAACAGGTGCCACACAGCCTAAGCCTGGGTCAAAGTATCTCCTGTCTTGTCTGAATGTCTGTCAAGCTCCTATGAATTTTCAGAGGAGCAATGTAAATACAATGGTCCTGGGGGAGGGGGCGCTGGCGATGAACGGTACAGAGGTAGGTATTCACCAGGAGGAACGGCACGCCTCCCGCAGGATGAAGTTAAGAATGGGTTCAAGGACGTGCTGGAGGGGACAGATGCCACTATGGCCTGGGGAACGGGGCCTTCAGAGTCATAAGAGACGGGCATGAAGTAGCAGCTAGCCTGTTCCACGCACCCTGGATCTGCACCCGGGCACCAGCAGTCTGTGGACAAAGCCTGTAAAGCAATGGTGCACCAGAGAGCAGCTCCCACTTGTGCCAACCTGGAGGCTGAGCCTGGGTGGCTCTGGACTTTCACTCAGGACAAGCCTCTGCAGCAGACAGCAAAGGCGAGCCAGGCCATCAGGGCCCACGTGCACAGCCGAGGGCAGGGGGCAGCTGCAATTCCAGACTGAGCAGCCCCACGCTCCCAGGTAGCACCCACACTGCACACTGCACAGGGCAAAGATGCCTTTCAACACTCAGGGTGCTACAAAGCGCCATCAAGGACCCCCAGTGGTTGCTCTGGGTTGGCATGCAGTACCGGGCCCCTGGCAGCAGCATGGCCACAGTACCTTCTCGTCCTTCTCTGTGAAGGTCCCGCCACTAGCAGATTTCTTGTTGATGGCCTGGGCCACACCGACGACCTGGTGGTGTAAGCACAGAAAGAGACACGTGTTTTCCTTGGCTGAGATCACCACCAAGAATCCCCCCGAGTGAATGTGTGGAAAGGACAGGGTCGCAGACCTGTGCAGAACCTCAGCCCCGGAGCAAGCCTGTGCCCGGAGCAAGCCCTGTGCCCCAGCAGCCTCCCTATTTCTGGTCGACCTGATGCTGCCGGCTTCTTGGGCCAAACCCAGCGGGACCCTGGTCCCCCCTGCAGTCTGGATGAACTAAGTGGCGGAGACAGTTTATGTGAATGTGCTCCACAACCATCTCTACATTTCAAATAAATAAAGTGAATGTTTTATGCTGCTCTTAAATATTTCAGAAGGGCAAAATGCTCTTTTACTAAAAATGAAACAGTCCTGAGTGGCCAATCACAGAAGAAATGTGGGAGGGTCTCCAGGACACAAAGACGTCCTGATGCAGGGGTGAGGTCCAGCTGCTTTGGGAACTTCAACCCTGGAAAACCATTTGACCTTCAACAGACTTATTTTTGGGCTACTGGAATACGAAAACAGGAATTAAAAGTCGAGCCTTATTTCAAACAGATCAGAAGGCACCCAGAGGGCGAAGGGTACCTGAGGAGACAACTAACCTACCCGAGATGGGCCTGAGACCCCAGCAAGAGGTGTGCGTGGGAGGGCCTGCCCAGCTCACTCCTCGGCAGCTTTGATAAATGACCTGACCTCCCCCTGAGGGCAGGGAAGCACACAGGCTCCTCCACGTGGTTGTCTGACCCTGACACCCTTATTCCCGCTCTCCTCCTCATAATAAAGGATATTAACATTTTAAAGGTGGAACACCTCTTCGTCCTGACTCACCACCCTGGGTCAGCTCACTCACCTCTGTCCCCCTCAGCTCCTAAGTCAGCCAGCTCTATGGCCTCCGCCCAGCAGGGCTGCTCACTTGAAGCCGACTCGCCAGGACTGTCAGGGCCGCTGGGTTCACACACACAGCAGAGGGGCAAGGCCACATTCGTGTGTGTGAGGTTCCCGGGCCTTGGATGACTGGTCCTTTCAAGCGTTCTTTCCTTTTGTGTATCAGCGGCTGCCCTGAAGGGGCTCAGGACCCAGCGTGGCGGGACATGACCCCACAGCACTGCAGCACAGACTGGCGACCGTCACGACCCGGGCTCTCAGCCCGCGGGAGTGAGTGCTAGGGCCCTGTGGCAAGGGGCACAGGCTGGGAGTCTGCTGGGAGGAAAGGCCAGCTGTTTGGGATGACCAGGCCATCCCCAACGCCTCCACGTCTTAGAGGAAAAGACAGGCGCAGCTGACAGCGTTTTCTCTGAAATCAAGACTGTGGAAGGACGTTACTGTCAGAGCCGCAGGCCCTGAGACCGAGGTCAAAGTGGGCCACCAGTGGCATCCTGGACCTTGTCAGAGGCTGAGCGCTGGGTGACTGTAGGGTCGATGGGATGAGGAGACACGGGGACAAGAGGGTGTGAGACATTTTACGTGTGGCTCAGAGAGCGAGGGTC